AGTAAACATTGCAAGATGGCTACGGATGAACACCAGCTGTTTGAAACGGCTTTGGCCGCTACAATGAACGAGTAAGACTTGGCTTTTTCTCTAAAAGAGGAACAGGACGTTTTTGCTGTTTTGCTGACCGGATACGGCAAGAGTCTAATCTACCAGTTAGCTCCACTGGTACTTAAGCGTATACGTCACCCTGTGTATTGTTCTGATTGGTCGTAGTGTTATCCAATTGTGTGCATTGATATTTATAAATGCATGCTTGGTGCCGCCCCTCGAGTTGGGCCATTTGCATTACTCATGGCCAGACCCTAAATCTTTCTAGATTTGGGTCTGGATTTCCAGGCTAACATTAGTTCACATCCCTTTGTAAAACTAATCCAGTCCGAATAGCACTAAAGACTGTGATAAATTCTACTTGAGCCACAATGCCACAACCGTGTGGTAGATTCTGGGGCGGCTGTGAGCCGTGCCCGGCACAGACAGTTAACTCTTGAAAAGATGTTCTGGGGTAATCTGAAAGACGCTTATTTTAGTCAATAGATGTCTGTTCGTGAGTCTGTGCCTGTTGGGAATTATAGACTCTGATTGTTGATGACGTTGGAAGGCCTAAAAGGTGACGCAAGAAATTAATAGGATCTTTAATCACTACCACTTTAAAATAAAAACTGTGGAATAATCCTTGTTTCAAACCCTCTAATTACAGCAGAGACATTGCTGCCTTTCTTGCTGGGATTGTGCCCCCCATATGTGGTGGGTGATTCATGCACATGATTCATTAACCAAGTGCCTTAAAAAGTCAGTTGTAAAAAGTCGTTCAGTTGTAAGACCCTCTATGGAGATACTGAGCTTGGTCTCCTTCTGCACCTGCACTCGCACTCAGCCGAGAGAAACTGACTAGAAAAGATGAACCAACTCTTCACTCAATAATCATTTCACGCTCTACAAATTGAGACGGACAACACAAGTCCAGACAACACAAATCTCTTCCTCCTCTCAGGTAAAACACAAAAAATTACAGAGGACACAAAAATCGATCCAGGTAGTGCATCATAAAAAAATATGGCATGCTCAGCGGGAGGCAGATGGGACAGCAGGTCTCTGAGTGTTGGGAGTTAAGCGGATGCATCTTTGAAACAGAAACACATGGATGCCTTGTGAGCAGTGCAGCAGAGAAGTCTGGGTGAGCATATGGAGAGGCGATCACAGGGACCAACGCCAGACAGACACATAGAGAGCGAAAGGAACAGGAAGAAGAGAAACACACCCCAACAACTCAGTAACACCTGCTTCAGGAAGGAAACTCCACACATATAGTTATGTCATAATCAGTACCTCAGTCTTTATGCATCCAAATTATGTAGCACATAACATAGTATTGCAATCACAAAGGAGTGATGGCATAGTTGTGTACTACTTTTAAAATGTTTCAAAATGTTAAAATTCAGGGCAAATAAATTACAGCTACCTGGCAAAATTAAACTTAGGTTACAGTTAGCACTGTGGCTGCCTAGCTAGCTGTAACTTAGCTACACTGCATGGATCTGGTGTTGGTTGCTTTGTAATGTCAGCTGATAAAATAGGCTAATTTGCAACTAGCCCCAGGGGTCTGGGTGAATTAGTGCAGTGGTTCGCAACTGGTTGGGGCTAGCAAGTTGGATTCTAGTACTTGTTAGCATCTGTCTTGGGGCTAGCAAGTTGGATTTTAGTACTTGTTAGCATCTGTCTTGAGGCTAGCAAGTTGGATTCTTGTCCTTGTTAGCATCTGTCTTGAGGCTAGCAAGTTGGATTCTAGTACTTGTTAGCATCTGTCTTGGGGATAGCAAGTTGGATTTTAGTACTTGTTAGCATCTGTCTTGAGGCTAGCAAGTTGGATTCTTGTCCTTGTTAGCATCTGTCTCGAGGCTAGCAAGTTGGATTCTAGTACTTGTTACCATCTGTCTTGAGGCTAGCAAGTTGGATTCTTGTCCTTGTTAGCATCTGTCTCGAGGCTAGCAAGTTGGATTCTAGTACTTGTTACCATCTGTCTTGAAGGTAGCAAGTTGGATTCTAGTACTTGTTAGCATCTGTCTTGAGGCTAGCAAGTTGGATTCTAGTACTTGTTAGCATCTGTCTCGGGGCTAGCAAGTTGGATTCTAGTACTTTTTAGCATCTGTCTTGAGGCTAGCAAGTTGGATTCTAGTACTTGTTAGCATCTGTCTCGAGGCTAGCAAGTTGGATTCTAGTACTTGTTAGCATCTGTCTTGAGGCTAGCAAGTTGGATTCTAGTACTTGTTAGCATCTGTCTTGGGGCTAGCAAGTTGGATTCTAGTACTTGTTAGCATCTGTCTTGAGGCTAGCAAGTTGGATTCTAGTACTTGTTAGCATCTGTCTTGGGGCTAGCAAGTTGGATTCTAGTACTTGTTAGCATCTGTCTTGAGGCTAGCAAGTTGGATTCTAGTACTTGTTAGCATCTGTCTTGGGGCTAGCAAGTTGGATTCTAGGACTTGTTAGCATCTGTCTTGAGGCTAGCAAGTTGGATTCTAGTACTTGTTAGCATCTATGTTGGGGCTAGCAAGTTGGATTCTGATACTTGTTAGCATTTGTCTTGAGGCTAGCAAGTTGGATTCTAGTACTTGTTAGCATCTGTCTTGAGGCTAGCAAGTTGGATTCTAGTACTTGTTAGCATCTGTCTTGAGGTTAGCAAGTTGGATTCTTGTACTTGTTAGCATTTGTCTTGAGGCTAGCAAGTTGGATTCTAGTTCTTATTAGCATCTGTCTTGGGGCTAGCAAGTTGGATTCTAGTTCTTATTAGCATCTGTCTTGGGGTTAGCAAGTTGGATTCTTGTACTTGTTAGCATTTGTCTTGGGGCTAGCAAGTTGGATTCTAGTAGGCTTCAATGCAGACTGGTGTAAGCAGGCCAGGGTGCAGCCTGGGTGCAACCGAGCTGCAGGCTCGCTGATTGGGAAGTAGGCTGAAAACAGGGCTATTGGCCAGGGGCTGAAAGGCTGGGAAATAAGCTGGAGGCTAGCTGACTGGGAAGCAGGCTGGGTATCAGGGGAGACAGGAGTAGCAGGCCCAGGAGAAACAGGCAGAGAAGTTAAACACACACAAACAAATTGCAGTAATGTCTGGTGGTGAGGGGAGAGCAGATTAGATCACTGTGCATCTCTGTACAGCACACCACAGAGTCTGAGGTAACCAGATTTCCATGATAACATGTTAGCAACATGTCTGGACACTTTCTATGAGTTATTCATGATTCATAAAGGAAAAGAGGGGGATTGGCGGGGACATGAATTTCTTTCCCCGGACCAGTAAATATAAAAACGCACTCCCTATCAGTGTGGTAGCTAGTCTCTGTGACATGCCTGCTGAATTAAGCCAGCTGATACTCTGCACACTATCTAACAGGGCCACAGATATGCAGTTTTGTAAAGAAGACACATTATCCGTCAGGAATTAGGATGATTCATTGACTTGTGGCGGGCCAACTGAGCTAGGCAGCAGTGTTTGGATGTGTTCCTGGCTAGCGGGATGATGAATCTCTGAATTTCTCTCTCTCTTGCTTGTCTTACAGCCATCAGCCTGTGTTTAATGTTTTCTTACCCCTGTGCCAAGAAGATGTCTCCAATAGCGCTGAATCCCACATTGTGCTCGACAGCAAAGTGTCCGCTGAGTGCCAGGGCACCCGCGCAACACTTGCTCTGTGTGTCAAGGGGTAACGAGGTTAAGTGGGCTTAATGTGCAAACAAGCATGGCCAAACAGCTAAGTAGCATCTGGGGGGGGGGGCTAATATGAAAATCCATCAGTGAAGTGATTTCCAGGGATAACAGAGCTGGGAAAGAAATGCCAGGCGCACATTCAAAACACATGGGAGGTATTTGAGGGAAGCCTGAATGATTGAGCTCCTACTGGTGCCTTGAAAATGGGCTTTCTCCAGAGGTTTGGTTTGATGTGAGAGAGAAAGTTGGGAGGAGAGAGACAGTGAGACTAGACTGTCTGTGAGATGGAGTGTGTGTGTATGTGTGTGTGTGTGCGCCCTCGTCTCCAGAGGACTTAAGGACGGGGAAGAGAAACGCTCAATCACATCCAGCTGTTGTGCTGATGGATGGGAAGCACTGGGCATGTGAGTCCGTTTACTGAGAGAGGAGTTCCAGTGTGATGTGCACACAAAGAGACAAGCAGCACATAAACACAAGCTCGCCCTCCTATTTTTTTTTTTTTTTTACAATTTGGCAAAACCCAACCTGTCATATTAAAAATACTGAGTGGAAATGGAAAAATACAAAATCCAAGCCTTTGAAAAAGTTTCTGCGCTCACTCAAACAAAAAAAGTTTTGTCAGTTCAGATGATACGCCAAATGTAGGGGTGTTGAGTCATGCTTACCAAGATTTGATAAAGTAATGCCTCTCAGACATTTGATTTAAAGCCCCATAAAGCAAAAGTGTTGACGTTAACCTTTTAATGTCAACTTTTATTTCCTTGTGGAATTTTTTTTCTAAATGACCCCTTGGATTTCTAAATGTGGGCCAAATTTGTCGAAGTTCCATCAAGGCGTTTGTGAGATACCGCTTTCAAGAGAATAAGACAGGTGCAGGTCACATTGCCCTTGACCTCTGACCTATGACCACCAAAATCTAATCAGTTCAAGGAGAGTCCAAGGGCATGTCTGTGCCAAATTTGAAAAAAATCCCTAAAGCTGTTCTTTGGATATCTTGTTCGTAAGAATGGGACGAACTGACGGACAACCCGAAAACATAATGCGAAAAATACCAAGGCACAACGCTTTGCTAAAAAAAAGCCTTTCATAAATGGGCCTAGTGCTTACATGCATCCAAGGGCATAGCTTTCACTCACCTGTTTCTCTCCACCACACCTACCTGCCAGCCTATCACCTGTCCACACAGCTCCCACTCCTGCTAATCCACTATGCCCACCTCATCTAGGCAACTCAGTTCACCTGTTTCTGATTAAACACGGCACATACACACCTTTCTGTGTGCGCTATGGAGTTTACTCACCTTCATCGCTGGTTCCTCGACTCCTCTGCTCGCTCAATGCCATCCCCTGCCTCCTCCCTCGTGGTACAGCTGCACACAGTCGACTCTGGTATCTGGTGTGAGCGCATCCAGCAGATGCCAGAGATCCTCCTGTTCCTGGCTTCGGTGTGGCTCAACAAAGCTGCTGGACTGGACCTGTGCCTCGGGAAGCCTCAAGACAAGAAGTTGAACTTTGTCGCTGTGGTGCTGCAATTGGGTTCTGCCACCTGTTGCATACCGTCAGGGACTGGTTCTTACCGTCCATATGCAAACCTACACCCTTGTGATTATCAACATTGATCTAATTTTTTTTTTTTTTTTACTGTTTAAAATGGGTACATCAGATCGTAAAGCTGTGGGCAGCACGTTCAGTCACAATGATTGACCACAGGGTGTCAGAGACCATGGCCAGGCAGGTGCAATGAACTCCTCTTAGATCAAAGTGAACAGCTTTGTTCCAACACCTACTACCCTCTAATTACAGCAGATGAAGATAGATCCAGTATCCTCCCACACTGACAACCTCCTCACAGCAAACCCATCAACATCTCTACAACCTACTCAGCAACACCAGCCTCCTGGAAACTGGCTTTAAACTTTAAACTTCCTGATTAATGTTTGAAAAACTCAACACAGGTTGCAGCTGAAATTTAGTTAAAAATTTTGTATCTAAGACAACAGTTAGAAAATACAAACAAAATTCTGACTTAATTCTGAGTCCTCTGACCTTTTTCACTCAACAATATTGTTTTGACTTGGCCTTAATGTTCTTACATAGAAGAGAGTTTGTCTGTGGTTGGTGGTAAATGTGCCTGCAGAGCTCCAGTCTTGCGACCCCTCAGCAGGACAGATACAAAGGTGAGCCTGAGTCCAGGTTGGTGGGTGGCACCCAGTAGGGTGCGGTGCATTCACAGCCTGCGCTGATGACAGGAGTCCCAGGCAACTGCTGCTGACATGACCTGAGTGCTGACTTGTTATTAGAGCAATATCACAAGGCACGTAAACAAGCACACCCTGTTGTTTGGCCGGACGGCGCTTCACAGGGTTGGTGACACTAAAAAGACCTTACAAGACAGGCTCACGTGATTTACAGTGTATATATTGCTCTAAATGTCGCAATTCCAGCCAATTTTCCCCTCCTATGATGAACCCTCCTCCTGAGCAGAGCCAATCAATACACGTTATCAGATGTCTGGGTGGAGAAATAACTTCAGTGTGGTGAGACAGGGCATCGTAAAGAGTTGCTAACTCATCTCCAGGACTTTCATTAGTCTGCCTCTCAACACTTTTAGTCCTGTCATGCTTGAAATGGTTCCAGGGGAAGCCAGTGCTGGTTGCCACAGAAAATAAAAGCTATTTGTAGACAAAAACCGAGTGCCTACGCTTCCCAGTGAGCACCATTTATCACACACTCGAAGGGTCGGTGAAAAATATAAAGCAGTTTTTCTCAGACTTCACTGGTCTCTGATCCCGTTGAACCGTTGGCAGGACCCTGGTGAGTCCATCACACTGATGTACTGTTCAAACTCAAATAAGAAACCAAATACGTGAGACTGATTTTAAGGATCTACCTTTGTATTGTTCCATTTGACTGAATAATGCAGCCGTAAAAATAACTTTAAGTGTGAATTTTCAGCCAGTGTAATCATGTAGTTTCTATAAGCAAAAAAGGAACAGTTACATAATTAAATGATGGAGTTTAGGGTTAGGCAAGTAAAGTTACTGTGGTTAGATTTAGGAAAAGAAACATGGTGAGGACGGACTTTAAAATGTCTCAGAATTCTGTCAAAGTGCACACCTTTATGAACACGTCTCCAGGGTAAAGTCCTGGGGAAAAGTATGCGTTTTTGTGACTCATACACTAGTGATGTCCAAATGAAGCTTCATGAATCACCAGTTGTATTTGCTGAACCCACTAGATGGCGCTCTTGGTGTAATGAAAAAGGCTCAAGGGATGGCAATGCAGTTTGGTTTCACCCCTTTGTTGAGCAAAGAGTGCCAGAGTGGACCCAAAACATAAAGAAAATGGTTCATGAAGCTTCATTTGGCCATCACTAGTTGAAACCAAACTGCATTGCCATCCCTTGAGCCTTTTTCATTACACCAAGAGCGCCATCTAGTGGGTTCAGCAAATACAACTGGTGGTTCATGAAGCTTCATTTGAACATCACTAGTTTCAACTAGCAACGGCCAAATGAAGCTTCATGAACCATATTCTTTATTTTTTGGGTCCACTGTGGCACTCTTTCTTCAGCGAACCCACAAGTTCCATCACTTATATCAAATTACATTAATTAAGTTCAGCCCACTGAGCAGCAGCAGGAGCTCTGATTGGCCAGCTGTTAAGTAGTAGCAGGGTCTGGCCTATCAGAGCTCCTGCTGCTCCTGCTGCTGGGTTGGACTTAATTGTCTTTATAAGTGGTTCATTTTAAGATTCAATTAACGTGTAACCTGGGTTCATGAAGCTTCATTTGGACATCACTACTCACTAGATGGCGCTCTTGGTGTAATGAAAAAGGCTCAAGGGATGGCAGTGCAGTTTGGTTTCAGCCCTTTGTTCAGCAAAGAGTGCCAGAGTGAACCCAAAAAATAAAGACAAAGGTTCATGAAGCTTCATTTGGACATCACTAGTTGAAACCAAACTGCATTGCCATCCCTTGAGCCTGTTTCATTACACCAAGAGCGCCATCTAGTGGGTTCGGCAAATACAACTGGTGGTTCATGAAGCTTCATTTGGGCATCACTACCGTCCACCACCCCAACCTGCCTCCTTACAAGAACACTCTAGGTGCTTCCTGGATTACTCCAGTCAGCGCATTGGTCATATGATCTTTCAAAACATGTGGGATATGTACGAATTTACGTATTAACGCTTTTTGAGAACAGCCTGGTTTAGTTGCCATGTCATATCCCGCCTAAGGTAAGAGTCAAACGAACCACAGTCATATCGCTCAGTGTGTTTTCTCCTCTGTGAGGCAACAGTAAGCATATAGCATATGTTTGCTCTCTACACTATATCCAAGATTATGAGGGCTAAAATATAAAAATCTCTCCCAACTGTCTTGAATCTTAAAAAGCCAATGTGAGATCAGTGCTGCTGCCAGACAGATAATAGCACACTGGAAACGTATTTGATTTCTATGATTGGCTCAGAGTGTTCCTTTTTCATTTGGCTTGAGTTTATCTCCACTTTATTTTAATGTCATCGCCGGATTAAAATCAGACATGGACTCATGAGAGCTGTTGCATCATAGTCAGTTTTTTATGTGATTGTCTTCACTTTGGCCTCTAAACCTAACCTTTAAAACCCAACATAAGTCGATGTCCCAGACATGAGATGTGGTTGAGAGTGTGAAACAATATATTTTTTTGATATTCAGATTTTGATTTCAAAAGGGAACGCTCCAAATTGAGTTTATTGCCTTCATTAAGCGTGTCACCTCTCCAGCCAGAGCGAGTCAATGAGAACTGAGAATGTGGGCCTTAATTTCTCTCTGGCCTGTGGCCTCATTGCGAAAGCACTAATTATGTGTGCCCCATTCACAGCTTCAGTTTACACGCCGAGTTCGGGAGGAGTTCATTTGGTGTGGCAGGACCTCATCTGTGTGGACGCTGCTTATTATTATGTTGTTGCTGTTTCAGTGAAATGTGAGATTATGGGAAGCACGTTATTCATCTGAGAAACTACTACAGAATAATTAAAACATCATCGACAGTAACTCCAGCTTATTGGCTTTAATTCTGTACCAACTCAAATAAGACTTGTGTTTGTCGACAGGTTAATGTGCTCTCTGCAAGTTGGAAAGTAATATCAAGATAATTAGATTCACTCAGGAATTCAAAAAGATTCACATCTTATAAACGCTTTTCTCTGCTCGTCTAGTCAAAGTAGACTTTTGCCAGGATGTGCTGATAGAAGAGAGTGAGAAATAAATTACAGCTTGTCTGGAAAGCTGACACATGTTGATGTTTGGAAATAGGACAGTGGCGTATCTTGAGGCATTGACGCGTGTCATCCTGGGCTCGACATAGAAAACAATGGGCGTGGGTGTTTTGACACATGTCAGACATCTAAAAAAAAATAAAGCTGCATTAACATCTTTCGGAACAACAGAATAAGCCAGTATCTTGCATCGTGACCGTAAAGATGTATTGCTAAACAGTTTGCTCCTGTCTGGCACAAGGTGATGAGAGCAGAGTTTGTGGGCCACAAGCCAAAACAAGGAGCTCAAAGAGGCTAAAACGTTGCAGACCAAGGACCCCCCCCTCATTTTTTTCTCAAATTTCCCAACAGTACTCCCCAATGGCAGTGGCCCAAAAACTGTTTAGAAATGCCCTGTGGAGCGTGACAAAAAGCTCAAGGTGTCGACCTGGCTTCTAAATTTCCCAGGTCCCAATCTGCTCAAGGATTCTTGTGATGTGCTGGTACCCCAGATGTACCCCTAATCCAAGGTGGGGCCTCTTTGGATGGGACTTGACCCTTGACACAGGATCTCTGGGAGTGTCCTGCTGTGTCTGGCACCAGTGCACTGGCGGCAGATCCATTTAGTCCAGTGGGTTGTGAGGTGGGTTAATGGCACGTGCCACAGATGCTCATTCAGATTGGGATCTGGGGACTTTGGAGGCCAGGTTGACACTTTGAGGTCCAAGTCACATTTCTTGGGCCATTCCTGAGCGATGTTTGCAGTGTGGGGGGGTACTTGGTCTGTAGAAAATCCACATACTATACAGCTGGGACAGACAATATACTCAATTTTTATGTCATACTTAGTATCAGCAGTGTGTAGTATATGATTTTGAGCAGAGCCTGAGACTTTTTCTTACCTCCTGATTGTGCGCATTTCCTGTCACAGAGGCCTTCTGGGAAGTATCCCCCCATATTACCATCATGTCTCTGCCGCCACTCCTGCAAATCCACCTTGAAAGCACTTCATGAGGCATTCATTAGCTGACTATTGGAGCCGTGCAGCTCCACAGTCCTAACTGTCATCACTTAGAGCCAGACTTGCAGGGACTCCAGACAAAACATGACTCACTTCTCCACTGTAAACACAATAACTCGCCATGAAACACAACGCTCAGCACATTCACACCAGTCCCACCTCTGGATTCCGGAAATTGATGGAGGAAATAAAAGCTCATAGGGTTTACCAAAATCCATGCAAATTACCGCATTAAATTGTGATTAGACTTAAAGAGATACAGATGAAAACAGCCACACCTCTGTTGGAAAATAACTGGGAAGTGCCACGTCAGGGGTTTCCACATGAGGTGGTTAACCAAAGAGAAACCACCAACACCTTGCTGTTGTCGAAGAGCTTAATTATTACCAAGCATTCTTAATATCAACCATCTGAGCATTTTTTTTTAAATCACCAAAAAGACAATGTCACACTTTGGCAGCCCCACAAGGCAATGAGAGGAACTGCAGCACACTGGAGGATGGCTGTCATGTCTCAGTCTTTTCAAATATGAACAGCTCATGGTGACCTCCCCATCGACCACATGCAGAGGCGTTCTGTGGTGGATGCCATTCCTGAGGAACTTATTCACTAATGAAGTGTCTCCTTATTCATGCAAGAGGAAAAACAGTGACCTCCTGGAGTCGTCGGTGAGTCACGCCCACTCACAAGTTCTGGGAACTGAATACTTTCTTTAAAGGTCAAATGTGCAGGATTTAGGGGGATATATAGTCACAGATGGAATATAATATAAGTAGTGATGGCCAAATGAAGCTTCATGAAGCACCAGTTGTATTTGCTGAACCCACTAGATGGCGCTCTTGGTGTAACGAAAAAGGCTCAAGGGATGGCAATGCAGTTTGGTTTCAACTAGCAATGGCCAAATGAAGCTTCATGAATCTTTATTTTTTGGGTCCACTCTGGCACTCTTTGTTCAACAAAGGGTTGAAACCAAACTGCATTGCCATCCCTTGAGCCTTTTTCATTACACCAAGAGCGCCATCTAGTGGGTTCAGCAAATACAACTGGTGCTTCATGAAGCTTCATTTGGCCATTGCTAGTTGAAACCAAACTGCATTGCCATCCCTTGAACCTTTTTCACTACACCAAGAGCGCCATCTAGTGGGTTCAGCAAATACAACTGGTGCTTCATGAAGCTTCATTTGGCCATTGCTAGTTGAAACCAAACTGCATTGCCATCCCTTGATCCTTTTTCACTACACCAAGAGCGCCATCTAGTGGGTTCAGCAAATACAACTGGTGCTTCATGAAGCTTCATTTGGCCATCACTAATAATAAGTATAAAAATAATCATTGTTTTGGATAAGAAGAGGCCTCTGTGGATAATGCAGATAAAAATCTCAACAATGAACACTGAAGGAATTCTAACCAGGAGCAGTTTCAGCTGGTTGCAATTTCCAGTTCTCACCACTAGATGCCACTAAATCCCCCAAAATCTTACACTGAATCTTACTTTTTTACCTCTTCCACAGAACTGACTGAAGTTTATATGAATTCTCAACTTGAGACATCATATATTTTCATGGAAACAGAAACACTACATAACCTGTCAATCAGCACGACTAATTAATCACGGCAGTATATTTTATTTCGGTGGCTGGCAACGAAGATCCTGTGTTAACTGCAGTTTGTCACATACAGTTACATTCACAGTGACTGGGCCTGTGTCTTGGCCCTGTGACTCGCCTACTCTGCCTCTTGCCCAGTGCATGCTGGGATACTTTCCAGTCACCTGTGACCCTGAACAGGAAAGGCTTGATTACCAAGTGGGTGGACCCCTGGCCAGTAAAGCTTTATTTTATGGCTCTGTAATGTCCAAATTATTTTCAACAAGTTTCCTGGAAAGAAGTCTGTAATTTGGTATGAAATATGTACGGTGAATAAGAAACTGTTCATTAACTCCATGAATCTGTCGTGTTGCTTCAACAGTGCAGTGAGCACAGCAGGTCAGCTGAACGTGCAACATGACGTACAAGTCAACACGTATGAAGAATCAAGTGTCCAATAACACTTAAGACTCATTAACAGGCTTCAAATCGTTCAAAACTCTGCTGCCTGGATCATCACCTGCACCAAATCATCCCACCACATCGCCACCACTCTCATCTAGCTACACTGGCTCCCTGTTGATTACAAAAACCTTCAAAGCCCTCCACAACCAAGCCCCCAGCTATCTCTCTGACCTCCTCCAGGACCATTCCCACCTTATGCCTCAGCACCATGGGCGCCAGGGCTCCCAGCTGCACTGCCCTCAGGCTCTGGAACTCCCTACCTTGACACATTCGACAGTCCGACAGCAAAACATCCTTCAAATCCCATTCCAAAACCCACCTTTAACATGTACCCTCTGGTTTGAATACTTCAGCACTCTAACATGATGTTTGCTGCTCCAATAAAAAATGCTGATGTTATCATTCCATGGTCACTTCGTATCAATAGAGATAAAAAGGACTGTGCAGCCACACAAAGTTGTGTGCAGAGAGAACCAGTGCATGTTGTCATGAAAACCTGAACTAGCTTTAAACATCACAGAAATGAAGAGCTCATCTCCTAAATGTCAGATTTCCATTTTTATAAATGTGACAGTTTCGCGTGACCACACAGGCCCGCAGCTGGCCTTCAGAGTGACACCTGCCAGCAGCTGTTGAGTGATGGGAGGATGCAGAAAGTGTGAGGAGGACAGGAAGGACCAGGCAGGACAAGAGAAGAGAAAAGAGAATTTTTATCACTTTCAGACATTTCCAAAGACTCTTTGGTCTTGGCATCAACATGTGCCATTGCCTAAAGTTTCGTGACTAAGGATATACACCGATCAGGCAAAACATTAAAACCACTGACAGGTGAAGTGAACAACATTAATTATCTTGTTACAATGCAATGTTCTGTTGGGAAACCTTTGGGTTCTGAAACGCTTCACCCACCTGAACACCAGTGCAAATCTCTCTGTCTGTGGACAGATTTTGCCACCGTGATAGTATCACAACTGTGCAAGATGCAGTCATGAAATCTCACAGGTGTGTACTTAAGATCAAAATAAAGGGTTCGAAGACGGGTGTGGTCTGAGGAAGGGGGACAGAAGTATGGGGGTAGGAAGTCAGACTATCACAGGGCTGACACACAGAGACAGACAACCATTCACACTCACATTCACACCTACGGACAATTTAAAGTCACCAATTAAGCTGCATGTCTTTGGACTGTGGGAGGAAGCTGGAGCACCTGGAGAAAACCCATGCTGACACAGGGAGAACATGCAAACTCCACACAGAAGGGCTCCCCCACAATAAGATGAACCAGGAATACCAATTGAATTGCCAGTAAGATCCAAAGTTTGTGTTTGTGTTGTTCTGGACAAGTTTATTTCAGCTGTAAAGTATCCCACTTAGCACATATCTTTGTACAACCCAATTTACATGATCCTACTTCAAACATCATGTCATGGGTGTCTGTGTTACAAGATACTGGTCAATGTGTCACATAGTGACACTGCCCTGAAATATGCAGTGTTGACCCTGCTGTTCAGAGGGATTCACTCCTCCTCTAGAACACTTTGTCTGCCACGTGAACGCAAATGCATCTGTAGGAGAGCCTTTGTTTTTCACTTGGTGGTGATGAATGAGGTTAAAATGTGTGAATGAGGATGAACATGGTGTGATGGGGGTAGAGTTTACTTCTGTACAGTCAGACAACACACAAAGGACAGATAAGACAGCGAACTGTGAGTTGCGCTGATGTGAACTGTGTATCGAAACAATACTCAGGCTGAAACCAGTGAGAGACTCGCAGTTACAAAATGTCCTCAAACCTTGCTGAAAATAACAGTAGTGATCTGTTCAGTGACAAAATGCAGCTTCCTCATTATTAAGTGTGAAGGCAAAGCGGGGGTCGTGACGCAGGGTTGTCTGGCAAGAAAGCTGGAACGAGATCAAATTGCCATTGCCATTGCCATTGTTAACCAAGGCGATGCCTTGGCCAGTCGTTACCTGCAGGGAGTCCATACCTGGGGCCTGTTTCACCAACTTTCCAAAATGAGATCATCTCCCTCTCACACATCTTAAAGTTTTACCAAAACTGCCTTGTGGCTGTATGCCTCGGCAAACCAGTCAAGACGCAGCTCCTTGTCTGTGCAAACGTGAAAGCTTTACACACACCTTGACCTGACCGTTGACCACCAAACTCTCACCAGTTCATCCTTGAGTCAAAATGGAAATGTGTGCCAAATTTAATGCAGTTCCCTCTAGGTGTTCTTGAGATATTGTGTTAAGGAGAAAGCAATGGACAAGGTCACAGTGACAATGACCTTTGACCACCGAAATCTACTCAGTTCATCCTTGAGTCCAACAACATTGGTGCCATTATTTTTAAAATTCCCCTCGAGGCATTTTTAACATATGGTGTTCATGAGAATGAGACAGACAAGTGACCTTGACCTTTGATCACCAAAATCCAAGCAGTTCATTTTTGAGTGAAAGTAAACATTTGTGCCAAATTTAAAATATAAATACATATTCTCATAAGACTTTTTGAGATATTGTTTTCATGAGAAGCAACAGAAGAGGTCACAGTGACATTGACCTTTGACCAAAGAAATCCAATCAGTAATTCACTGAGTCCAAGTGAACATTGGTGCCAAATTTTAAGAAATTCCTTTAAGGTGTTCACAGACAGCATTGGACGAGGTCACACTGACCTTGATCTTTGACCAACAAAATCTACTCAGTTCATCCTTCAATCCAAGTAGGGATGGGAATGCTGCTCTACTCGTCTACTTCAATCCAAGTAGACGTTGTGCCAAATTTTTCAAAAATTCCCTCAAGGCATTCTTAAGATATCTTGTACATGCAAATGAGACCAACAAGATCACAGTGACCTTGACATTTGGCCATGAAAATCTATGCAGTTCATCCTTATGTCCAAGTGGACCTTTCTGCCATTTTCAAACATTCCCTTGAGGGATTCTTGAGATATCGTGTTTATGAGAATGAGACAGACAAGGTCACAGTGACCTTGACCTTTGACCTATGTACACCAAAATCCAATCACAACTGTGCCAAATTTGAAGAAATTCCTTCAAGGTGTTCTTGAGATATTGAATTCACGGAAAGCAGTGGACAAGGTCACACTGACTACCAAAATCTACTCAGTTCATCCTTGAGTCCAAATACATGTTGTGCCAAATTTTTAAAAAATTTCCTCATGGCATTCTTAAGATATCTTGTACATGAGAATGAGACCAACAAGGTCACAGTGACCTTGACCCTTGACCAACAAAATCTATGCAGTTCATCCTTAAGTCCAAGTGGACCTATTTATGCCCAATTGTTCAAACATTCCCTCAAGGGATTCTTGAGAAATTGGGTTTATGAGATTGAGAAAAACAAGGTCACAGTGACCTTGACCTTTAACCTATGACCACTAATTTATCTACAATCTGAGCATTTGTAAACATGACAAAGAGCAACAAAAGATGTATTCTAGTAAACCCTAATTTTATTCTCTGCCTTGTATTTCATTGCCTAGCATTCTGTATACACAGGCCCAAGCAAACAGCTAACGGTAATGACGACCTTGAAGCATCTTGTCATGCTTTAAAGGTATGTCTTCGTTGCATGTTACTACAGTGTATTATTCTCTGATCGCTGCCAGTAATACTGGGCCTGTGTAGACAGTGATGAGGACAGAAGCTGCTGTGGTGCTGACACGGGGCGACCAGCACCTGCAGCTAGTGATGGCCAAATGAAGCTTCATGAAGCACCAGTTGAATTTGCTGAACCCAGTAGATGGCGATCTTGGTGTAATGAAAAAGGCTCAAGGGATGGGAATGCAGTTTGGTTTCAACTAGCAATGGCCAAATGAAGCTTCATGAAGCATTTTCTTTATTTTTTGGGTCCACTCTGGCACTCTTTGTTCAACAAAGGGTTGAAACCAAACTGCATTGCCATCCCTTGAGCCTTTTTGATCACACCAAGAGCGCCATCTAGTGGGTTCAGCAAATACATTCATTTGGACATCACTACCGGCAGCAACACAGCTCCTTTAGCTTTTTGACCCACAGAACATGAAGGGTGAGGCACACAGACCACATCATCACTTGGATTTTAATGGTAGCGAACAAAATCACACGGAGTTCATTTTAAAGGCCAGTGTTGTCCCAAAATACTAACTAAAGCCTTGTGCACATTAAACTGAGCCACTGATGAATACTGACCTGGTCAACTTAGATGTAGCTCTACAGAGTGACAGGTTAAACATTGATACCTCACAACCCAGCACCTTTTTACCGCACATGACTCGGTTTTAAAAGCATGACAACAATGATAATGATAATAATGATAAGTGTAGTGAATGAGCACAAAGTGCCATGGGAAAGTCCGCGACTGTTGGGTAATAACAAAGTCATTTGGCTGTGAATAAACCATCAACAGGGAGCTGGGAGAAGGAAACTTTACAGTGGGACACATGGCAGCCCATTCTCACATGTTCTGAGAGTCCTATCGTTACTGCACGGAGCGCTGACAGCTGACACAAGCATTATTTCAAGTGACCTTTCTGTAATTATGAGACATCATGCCCATCAAACTGTGATGTAAGGCACCTTTTTACAAGTGCTACGCATTTTGAAATAAAGTGGCTGACTCATGATTACATACGATATAATAAGTTTAAAACCGCACAGTAATGACTACTGGCCAGCTGACAGTTACAGCACCAGTCTGGAGTCACATTAAGTATAACTACATAAACATTTTTAAAAAGAGGTAAAATATAAAACATGATAATATAAAAAAAGACCTGATTATTTTTTTCTTTTAAAACCTAGAAAGTAACAGTCTTTTGGTTTCAAACGAACCACTTTTTTTTTGCATATGAGCAGGCTCAGAGAAAAAACTGATAAAAAAAATGAAAACAGCAAAAAGGTTTGACTTTAGTCAGATAAATAAAAATATAAAAAGCAACTCATCTCTGTGGTGTGATACATGTCACAGCATCGATCATTTGGAGGCTGTCTTCAGGGAGGCCACAATGACACTCCCGGCTTTGATAAATAAGCTTTTTCTCCATGATCGTACCTGTGACAGGAACTTTACAATATGTTGTGTCAAATCTCAGGATATTCCATCAATAAATAAGCCGGGCTCAGTGATCAGAAGTTCTTGAAGATCTCTAAGTCCTTCTGAGGCACAGGAGGGTCTTTCTTCCAGTCATCCTCTGGATAAACATCAAAGTTAGAGGTGTCGCCTTCATGGGAAACTTTAGGAAGTATGGGAGGCTGTGGAGACAATGGGACATTCAGTACAAGTTCAAGTGCAGGTCTGAAACAATCAAGCTAACTGAGCTACGGCGTAAGCTCCACGTTGACGTAGAGCTTAGAAGTACAGATGTTTTGAATGGACGATGTAACTGGTGTTTGACATGAACTGTTGTGTTCATTTCCAATCACAAACTACGGCAAGAGAAACAGAGCGAGTCAAATGGAAGCAGCTCTCACCTTGAGTTTCCTCAGAGGAACCGCCTCCCAGTCGACTGTCTTAAACCATCGATGCTTCTTCACATCGTCTGCTCCGTTCTGAAACACGAAACATGGCTGTAAGCAGTTGTACTGTACAACACAGCTGGACATCCTCTGAAACCATTGCTTTTATTTTAAATTCTTACATGTACTGTGACTTCTGAAGGATGGTAGTGATCATCCATAATGATACACGTTAATTGAATCTTAAAATCAACCACTTCTAAAGACAATTAAGTCCAACCCAGCAGCAGGAGCAGCAGGGGCTCTGATAGGCCAGACCCTGCTACTACTTAACAGCTGGCCAATCAGAGCCCCTGCTGCTGCTCAGTGGGCTGAACTTAATTAATGTCATTTGATGTAAGTGAAGGAAGCTGTGGGTTTGTTGAACAAAGAGTGGCAGAGTGGACCCAAAAAATAAAGAAAATGGTTCATGAAGCTTCATTTGGCCGTTGATAGTTGCAACCAAACTGCATTGCCATCCCTTGAGCCTTTTTCATTACACCAAGAGCGCCATCTAGTGGGTTCAGCAAATACAACTGGTGGTTCATGAAGCTTCATTTGGCCATCACTATGAGCAAGCTCACGCTAAAGCTGAGTACACGCTACACGATATCAGCCCAATCATAGCCCGAGACAGCGACGTACGGTGTCAGCTCGGATTGTGAACGACAATGAGTATCGTACGTGATAATCCATTGTTTCATCTCGCGTAGTGTGTCATAAGCTATGTTTCCATCCAAAAGTTATTCGAATCATTGGGAAATGCGCATTAAAAGAAATATGAATCCTGTGTGTTTCCATTAAATGTATGGACTTTGATGAAAACTACGAACTCGTGTGAGTTTTCCGCAGAACTGGAAACAAAACAAGTCTCGCATTCTTCTTCTTCTACGTTTTCTGGTGGTTGGCAACCAGCTTGTAAATGCATTACCGCCTTCCCGACCCAAAGTGTGGATATCACCATGGAGAGAGGTGCGCTACGTCAGACGTAATTAGAACATAACTGTTTCCATCCCCTGTTTTGCGAATCAACGTTTTTTCGAATCAACCAAAACCCGGCTAAAGCGAGCGTATTTTAGTTTGTACGAATCAGGGGATTTAAATTTGAATTTTGGCGTTTCCATCACAATTTTCTGATGCGATACTTCTAGATGCGCATCTAAACACGCTGATGGAAACATGGCTATAGTCGACGACAACCGACGTTTCAACGGAAAGTCTAGCATGTTTTATTTTCTTTTTGTCATTCAACTGCTCCTGTCACAGTTGTCACTTTAACCAATAGGAACACAGAGCGATCTGCTGCCGTGGACAACTGTACGACAAAAACACCCCAGGGTTTTTGTTATTTCCTCTTGGGATGTTACCACACAGAGTAAAAAAGGAAAATGATGGCGTGAAACAGGAGAAGCACTTCAGTAACACGCTGAGTACTGCCGTTAGCATCAAGCTAGCAAACAATGTTATTTCTTCATAATGGAGACGGACATAAAGTAAGAAACATTTGAAAGAGACTACATTATAAACGGGCCGTTATTTATTATTCCCTCTGTATCTTTATATTTTTACTTTTTATCCGCTCCTGTTTGCCTTGATAAAGTTAATGCATCGTGCCGTCATTTCAAACTCAACACTTCCTGTATCTGTTTCAAATTAAAAGCCTTCATCATCCCTTCATTTTCTAAACAGGCTTTTATTGTGAAACATTTGCAGGAACTTGTTGTGGAGGCTTCAGTGACTTGCATGTTTGCGTACGGTACTTCAAATGTAGCTCCTGCCATCTGGTGGCAATTTTTACGTTACTACAACATTCCAGCTGGCACATGAACCAGAGATGACTTGAAAATATTGAATGCAGAATTTTAAAATCTTTTTTGATTCCAGTGTATTAATGTGTCATTTTAAATGCCAAACAGATTAAAACATTTATAATAGCATTTCAGAAGGTCTATCATAATTATATTGGCACAGTTGGGCCTCCGTACACGAGGACAGACAGCCTGTGACTTACAGCAGCATCAGTGTTGTGTTAATGAGCGATGATGTGACTGCTCCGCAGAGGAATATTGGCAGACACAAATCAATATCATCTTGTCTGGGATTATGCGAGTTAATCACTGGGCTTAGAGAAGTATTTGTTTTATTGAGAGCAGCTCTCAGTCTCTGCTCCTTTCACTAATGTTAATTGAAACGCTCCAGTCCTCCGGTCTTTTTCATTGGGAATCTTCACAGCTCCCACTGATGAGTGGTGACGCGGCAGGCATCCAGTAAAATGTACACACTATTTGTCCTGTGGAGCTGTTTGGGAGGTAAGTGATCTTTAATCCCTCTGTTATAATCAGGGGACAAACTCAATATGAGGATGTCAGGGAGATTCATTCACTCCAGACACACAACATGTAACTTTGCTGAAGGACGATCACTGCGCGTGAAGCAGCAGCTGGGGCTCCAACAGCTGGGGGACATGATTTATGGGACATGTACTCTGACGCCCTGAGACCTTCTTACCCAGCCCTGTTTGAGGTCAACTCTAAAGAAGTTCTTCAATAACTCAACTATGAACCGCACTGTGCCTTTTTATTGTTGCCAGGCAGCCACCCCATCACCCCCTTACCCTAACTTTTCTGTGTAATCAATCTACGGTTGATTTTTTTTTTATTCTTCTCAGACTCTTTTAGCGACTTACTGCTCGTTCAACGGTTCCTCTGGCAGCAGCACAGCATCTCTCCCTTTTGTTTTCTCACCATGCCCACAAGAAATCGACGTCGTCAAGCGTCGTCATAAACCTTTGGTGATATAAACCTCGCAGCTCGACAAAAAACTACATATATGTGAATGTGCGATAGTTACGGTATCATAACTGCCTGTCACAGATTACAGCGTGATGATTAGAGTAGAAATGGCAGAGCATAAAGGTCCAAAGGTTCTGGTTTCATGGGGGAAATGAACGGCAGGCTCCTGAGTGAAAGTCCAGTGTTTGTTTGACCAGTCTATCTCCACCCTCACCGTCCCTCTACAGACTTTCTCTATGGCAAGCTGTTTTAACATTTAATCGCTAAGTTTGACTATCTGGAATTACCATTATAGATATCAACAACATCATTTTGACTAGTCGTAATGTCATTGTGACTAGTATGCAATTTAATTGAAGATATCTATGACGTCATTCTGACTAGTCAAAACTACAGTTAGAGGTATCTGTAATTTAGTTTTTACTAGTAACATTCAAACTATTTTTGCCATTCATGTGTATGGGGTTTGTCATTATAGATATCTCCAATGTAGTTGCAGATATCTGCAATTCTTATTGTGGATATCCGCAACTGAATTGGAGATATCTGTAATTCAACTGCAGATATCTACAACGTCATTTTGACTAGTCATAATTCAGTTGCGGATATCTACAACGTCATTTTGACGAGTCATAATTCAAGTTCAAGATATCTACAACGTCATTCTGACAATCTGAAACTTAATTCAAGATATCTAGAAAGGACCATGTAGATATTAGGGCTGTCCTGAATACCATTTTTTAACATTCGGCCCTTCGGCAGAATTTATAACGAATATTCGTTCACGGCGGGGGAGGGGGGGCACTCCGGGGTTTTTTTCGGACCTAATTGTATTGCGGAGTTTTGCACAGTGGGGACCAGATCTTTGCTCTCAAACCACAAAAAAATGCGATGGCACAACAGTCTCCTTCAGTACATTATTCTATGCTTCCTTTTGATTTTCACATTGGTTAGTCATCCTGTTTAATTTGTCTTCTGATTAAATCGGAACCGTTGAAACAAGTTGTAGGAAGCCTCTGCAAGTAATTGGTTGCTGGCAGACACTCTGTGCCGTGCACTGTAGAGCCGATGCGCTGCTGGTTCTGCCGGCCTGAATAGAATATAATGTCTATAGCCTTACTGTTGTGTGCACAGCCATTATAGACTGAGCTGAGTAGCGATGCGCGGGTCGACCCGTAACCCGCGGGACCCGCAAATGGACCTGCGGGTCAGGCAGCAGTGATCGTCTGTTAAATCGGTCTGTAAATGATATTTTGACATTATTGGCTATTACTGTCATGGCATCCGAAGATACTGATGCGTTGAGCAGGTGACAGTCCGCGGACGTTTTCAAAACACACTTGTGTCACGCACTCCAAAAGAAACTTGTTGAAACTTTAAACAATAATTTATTGTACAAAACGGGGGAAAAAAACGTTGACAAAAATGGTTCCATAATTCATATTAAATTCAAAAGATAACGACAAAACAGCTACAAGTTAGAGAGAATAGTGATAAGGTGGTAAAACTTGGCATTGATCCACAGCCTACCATGCGCACAAGCTCAGTTGGTAGTAAATAAAACGAATATTGAATACCAAATTTTCATAAGGAACACCTACCTATAGAAACGAATATTCAAATATCCGAATATTTGGGTACAGCCCTAGTAGATATCTTCAATTGATGATAATTAAAGATATCTTGAACTTGAATTATGACTAGTCAAAATTAAATTGTAGATATGTCAAACTGGAATTACAGATATCTCCAATTCAGTTGCAGATATCCACAATAAGAATTGCAGATATCCGCAACTACATTGGAGATATCTACAATGACAAACCCCATACACATGAATGGCAAAAGTAGTCTGAATCTTACTAGTCAAAATTGAATTACATATATCTTGAATAAGAGTTTTGACTAGGCAAAATTATGTTGCAGATATCAGTAATGAATATCCAGTCTAGCTATTAAATGTTAAAACGGCTTGCCATACTTTCTCGCTCTTTATACAATGACAGCTGCCCCCCGGTGTGTATCGTACCACCACAAAAGGTGCCTTTGTGCATCGGTATCTGAGGCAGAGATCACTGATGGTACTTTTGTATGATGGGCAGGACCACTTCTTCTCCTTCTTTACTTTATGTATTGAATGAGAAAACTTAGAGACTTCATATTGGGCGGAACGACTTTGCACAAGTCTGAAAACGTACATCCCAATTAAATACTCCAGGGCAACTGAATGTTTATCTTGAAGTAAGGTATTACCCTAACAGTCAGTTACAGTTTAAGTCTTTGGAGGACAGATTTTAAATTTGTATTCCTGAGAGGAGTGACGCTGTGGCTTTCATTAGCATCTAACAATATTTAGATTACAAGTGAGACATTACAAACAGAGCCACCCCCAGACGGGCATTACTCCTGCTGGATGTGAAAACCCTGGAACAGTCCAAACACACCTTCTGTACGTCTCTCTCCATGCAGAGTAAGTGAAAGCATGTGGAGCTCCAGTCACACTGCAGCCACTTCCCTGCCATGTCCTGCTCCTCACACTGCTGACGTCAAACTACCTACTGAAGGTATGAAATGTGGTCGAGCTGCCATGTGGTTCAGGGAGCCTGGAAGTCTAACCAACTCACCTTCATGTTGCCTAGCCGTCTGGCTCGGTCAATGACCAGAAATTTCTTGATGAGGTCTCTGGGGGAAAAAGAAACAGTGAGTGAATCCAATGCTGTACAGTCGTCCTCTCTCTCTCTCTCTCTCTCTCTCTCACACATACACACAAGGAAAAACTGTCTGCTTCTCCCAGCACTGTCAAAATGACAAATGCATCCTAAGCAAAGGCAGCCTGACAGCCTGAGAGAGGTGGCGAGGGCTGCTGAACAGAGCTGTGTCCCTTTGACAATCTTTTAATTGAAGAAGGTAAGCACTTTTTTCGCAGACAGGAACTTTCCGAGTGTATATATACTTGTGCACGGGATGTAGACATCCATGTGAGGGGAATGATGATGATTCACACGGGGCTTAAAATGGCAGAGTGTAGGCTTTCTGATGAAATGTGATAGCTGCTGACGAACAGAGATAAAGGTGCCGCATCTCACAGCCGACGAGCTCCTGACAGCCTCATAAATACAGTGGCTGGATGTTGACAAGTCAGCGATTCCTCAGTTTTTGTCTAAATCCTTCCTATGCTTAAAGACAGGCCTTTGGAGCGATATGTCACAGAGAAATATCTTAATCAGCTCCCGGGGAAAATGTTTGTATTTATGCCTTTTTTCGTGGATTTCATGACGGAGAATTCATGTGGAAAGAAGACGTGAAGACGTGAGAGAGGCTACTAAACAACACAATAAGGCAACCTTTGATTTGTGGATCATTTCTCCACGTCAGGATGTTTGGTTTTCCTTTTCCCCTCAAAGCAACACTGATTACTTTGTCATAACACCAAGAGGTTCAATGGCTTTGGGTAATATAAAAGAGTTGCTCGTAATGATGAACCCACAGAGAACAATCCCCCGTCTTTAAGCTCATTGTTTTGGTTTCACGGCACATTTCCTGTAAGATCAAGTCTCGGCGCTCTCATCAGAAGCTACAGCAGCAAACAGCAGTGCACACAAAAAACTGAACAAGCACAACAGGCCACAATTTGCACTAAACAAACTAGTCTCTTTGCTAAAGCAAAATGATGACTAGAATTTCCACCCTGCGGTTGTAGGCCTCCACACAAGAGTCATATTTCTCTTACAGTTTAAATCCATGTCTGTGAAAACATGGATGCTTCACACACTTCTTCCCCCCGGCAGCACAGATGATCTTTACAATCAGCACAGTTTCAAGATGGACACCAAAGATGAATGTCTGTTCCTGAGATATGACGTTGAATGACTGAAAAGTGTTTTATGCAGAACATTATGATGTCACAGTGAAGTTGACCTTTGACCTACTGAATATAAAATGTCATCACGTCATCGTTTCATCCTGTTAGACATTTGTGTGAACTTTTATTATAGTAGTATAAGTGTGAGAATTCTTCAGGCACGGCCAAAAACATGTTTTTTGAGGTCACACTGACCTTGACCATTAATTACATCATGTTTATTCTTAAGTCCAAGTGGACGTTTGTGCCAATCTGCCAAAAATTCCCTCAAGGTGTTTTTGAGATATTATGTTCACGAGCATGAGACGGATGCAAGGTCACATTTACCTTGACCTTTGACCTTTAATTACAAAATTCTTATCACGTTTATTCTTAAATCCAAGTGAACGTTTGTGTCACATCTGCAGAAATTCCCTCAAGGTGTGTTTGAGATATTACGTTTATGAGAATGAGACAGATGCAAGGTCACATTTACCTTGGCCTTTGACCTTTAATTACAAAATTCCTCATCATGTTTATTCTTTAGTCCAAGTGGACGTTTCTGTCAAATCTGCAGAAATTCCCTCAAGGTATTTTTGAGATATCGCGTTTATGAGAGAGAGAGAAAGACTGATGTGAGGTCGCATTGACCTTGACCATTGACCTTTAATTACAAAATTCTCATCACGTTTATTCTTAAATCCAAATGGATGTTTGTGCCAAATCTGCAGGAATTCCAAGGTGTTTTTGAGATATTATGTTCACGAGAATGAGACAGATGCAAGGTCACATTTACCTTGGCCTTTGACCTTTAATTACAAATTCTGTTCGCGTTTATTCTTCAGTCCAAATGGATGTTTGTATCAAATCTGAAGAAATTCCAAGGTGTTTTTGAGATATTATGTTCATGAGAATGAGACGGATGCAAGGTCACATTTACCTTGACCTTTGACCTTTAAATACATCATGTTTATTCTTAAGTCCAAGTGGATGTTTGTGACAAAACTGCAGAAAGTCCACGACGTTTTTGAGATGTTATGTTTACAAGAATGAGACGGATGCAAGGTCACATCTACCTTGACCTTTGACCACAAAAATCTAATCGGTTCATCACTGGGTCCAAGAGAACGTTTGTGCCAAATCTGAAGAAATACCCTCTAGATATTATTTTGACAAGAATGCGACAGACAAGGTCACAATGACCTTTACATTTGACCACCGAAATCTAATCAGTTCATTGTTTCGTGTCAGAACTGAAGATATTCCCTCAAGGTGTTCAGAGATATTGCGTTCGCGAGAAAGGGACAGATGGACGGACAGCTTGAAAACATAATGCCTCCGATTTGACACCATAGATCAAGTTCATGGATCAAGTTAAGCTTACAGTTTTGCTGTAATACCAGATCATTTTGTTCCGGCTGCCATTGTGTCAAACAGATTCACCAGCCGGAGCATTTAGTGGTCCGATGTGGTGCAGTGCATTCTGGTAGTTTCTACCTCTTGGGCAAAATCCAATTCCACATCCCTTTTTCTCTGTTTTCTGTGGTCATGTAAAACCAATTTCAAAAGTAGCTGCAGCTTTCTACTGCAGAGACGGCCCAGTCTTAGAAAATCTTTCCTGCAGTGAAATACTTGTGTGTAGGGAAAGTGGAGCATTTACAGTAGCAGTTATCAGAGAGCAAAGCGGAGCCGAAAGGAGAGTAAATACTGGACTCTAGTGGAATGATGATGCTACTTTAGAAAAAGATAAATGTCAGATGGCATGTTTTTTTTTTTTGTTGCACCATCCCCAAGTGGACAAAAAAATCAATTAATTCTGCTTATACTTCACACAGAGCGGTTCCATTTTGATAACAGGAAGACATGGAGGAGGTGCAGAGAGTGTAAGGTCAGGTGAACACAATGTCAACATGTCCATAACACCTAACTAGTTTAGTGACTAATGACCAGACTTTTCCTTCTGGGGTCACCCTAGGACAGCTCTATAGTCTTTCTGCTGGTCTCTGCTCGGCAGCAGCTGCTCCTGGAGTCACAGCAGTCTGCTTGCAGTCCTCTGCAAGGCCTTTCACTCCTTGATGGATGGGAGCGTGTGACACGGAACTGTGTAAGAGTGATATAAATGGTGGAAATATTAAATATCCTTCTGTCTGCCGGCCGCAAGATAGATGGCTTAACAGTGGGAAGCTGCGGGTTCTCTGAATTATCAGGGGAAGCAGTGTGTGTCTGGCCTCTCCGGGGCCACTGTGTCAGGACTGATTGAGTGAATGTACACGCACTCACACACACACACACACATACACACAGATGTACACACCCAGAGTGCACTGAGCCTGTAATCTTGCACATTCCAGCACCCTCCAGCTGGTCTAATAGCTAGTGTGAACCGCGGAGGGATCGGTCCAAATCAGCTGGGTGTGTCATTAGTGACTGCAGGTCCACCTGAAGCCCCTCTTTAGCTCCAGAAAGCTCGTTGACCTTCGTGTTAAAGGGCCGCTGCAGCACTTAGAGACCCCGTCTACAGCCAATATGGCCCACACGTTCATTTGAAGTATTATGCTGACCATTTCAGCATAATACTTCATTTGAAGTATTATGCTGAAATGGTCATTTGAATGGTGGGGGTCAGGTGGGGTGACCCTGGGTGGGAAGAGGATCACTTCCTGTCTGTCACAGCTCATGAACGTGTCCTGCTACAGGCCAGGTTTTAGTTACAGGTGAGCATCAGTGTAGCTAAAGAACTGGTCCCAGGTCCTCGGACATTCTTGAGTGAAAATATATCGATATATTATAAAAAATCGATATACTGCCCACCCAGACACCACATAAAATGAACATCGCACAACACCTCGTGGCATAGTGCAGCGGTATGACGCCATACAGGGACTAAACTAAATGTTAAGTTCCAGTACATACAAAGACATTCAGGACACACACACATTCCTGGCTTGTGTAATCTTACTTGACGTAGAAATCCAGATGGCGTGGGAATTCCAGTTTTCCGGCCAGAATCTTCTGATAGATTCCAAATGGATTGTCATCAAAGAACGGCGGGTACCTGCGGAGAGAGGTACATGTCATCTGCAGCCTGCCCCTCTGAAGCCGCGCACACACTGTCACAGCGTGCTAACTCAATTTGTACTCGGCAAAAAACAGCATGATGCAAGGAGCAGGTAAGCTAGGTAAGAGCTTACATCGCCTCTCCAGTATCAGTTTGAACTAAATGGTGAGTGAACAGATGGAGAGGTCACCATTTAGTGTGTGTGTGTGTGTGTGTGTGTGTGTGTATGTGTGTGTGTGTGTGTGTGTGTGATAACTTTGCGCTGTAGACAGAGCAGCCTTTGTTCACAGTTATGATGATGATTCTGTTTGTATTCCTACCACCCACAGGCCTTCTGCTGCTGCTGCACTCCACTGAACGCTTTCCCAGCTCTCCTGTTCTTCCCTCTGCTCCGGCCTGGACAAGTCATTACCCACAAATTACATAATGGGACCAGCCTCTAAACGCATTACGCAGGGAGCAGACAGGCGAATAATCGCACCAGTTTGTCACACGCCGTTTGCCTTCCCAGTGCAAAGCCCCAGAGTCAGGAGACTGTGGGATGGGGGTGTCTGGGAGCCGGCTGTGCACCACAGACTCCACTCATGTTTTTTGTTTTTTTCTTTCCTCTAAACTGGTGCTGTCATAGGTGGAGAATTTGGGTCACTGTGGTAAAATGGACGGAGAACAACATGATGTGATCATTTTCTGACCTAAATTTATGGTTTTATAATGTTATATATGACATATATATCACACAAAGAGTGATCACCTCTGGATTTGTTATTAAATGTATGATAAAAGTTTTACTAATGACATCACAGTCTGTCGAAGAGGAACAACAACACTGCTTCTAGATCCTTTTACATTTCAATCCACAGTTTGAATGAAGTTGTGATAGCGCTGTGTAGATGAGACGAGACCATCAGGTAAAATTGCAAACACATTGATGTAATGAAAAGAAGCATAACGCACGGATTGCCTTTCACACCTATGCAACTAGATGAGATGGTGTATCATCTCTTTGCAACAACTTTCCGTACTTCTGTTCTGATTTGCAGCTTTTCAGACTTATTTTGTGGCTGAATATAATTTGTAGCTTCTTAAAATATGAATGAGGATAGTGATAGTGAGATACTGGCTACAGCTGCATTTGTAGGAGTGATGAAACGGCAAAAACAGAAACAAAACGAGCATCAGACGGACTGTGTTTATAATAAATATGCCGCTATCATCAGTCAGTGAGAATGTGTGTGTGGGCGGGGCATAAGCACACACAGCAAGCAGCAGCAGTGACCCACTGTCTGACACCGTCACATTGTGAGGACAGAAACAGAGGGCTTGGTGGGAAAGGAGCACCTGCCAAGCAGGCAAACACGCCACTGGCGCTCATTTTGACTTGACCAGTGGACTTCACTACAAGCCGATTGGCTGTGAAACAGGTGACATACCTGTGATTTGACCAGCTGAGTTGCAGGTGACACCATCAGCCGGCTTGAGTCGAGCTCAGACCGGCCAGTTCCCACTGCTGCAACTTTTCTCTGCAACCCTTGAAAACGGTTTCGTCTCGTCATGAATCGTAGGTCTGAACTGGGCTTTATATCACGAGTGTTACGAACACTGCAGGAACTTGCTGCTACTTCCTGTTTCATGGTGCCTATCCAAAACAGACACTTACATATAGAGATGTACCGATACCACTTTTTCCTTCCCGATACCGATTCCGATCCCTGACCCTTAGGTATCTAACGATACCGAGTACAGATCCGATACCAGCGCGTAAAATAAAAATGGATTGGATATGAATTGTTGCATGTCTCAACTCCTAAAACTCTATGTAAAATATTAAGAAATAAATACATAATAGTAGAATGAATGCCATAAAACTTTTTTATTATTATTATCCAGTGTTATCCAAGACATTATAAAGGCTACAGTAGAATGCTTTTTAAACTCCGTTTCCGTTTCGTTTGCCTGTAGCGTGCGTATGCGTAATGACGTGAGGCATTACGTGGTATCGGATTGGTCATAGGCTGTACTCGCCGATACTCGATACCGCATTTTAGGCAGTATTGGAGGCATTTCCGATACTGGTATCGGTACAACTCTACTTCCATACTAACGCTTTTTACCCTTTCAAGATAATTTGAACCACATCTAAAACGGATTTTTAGACGAATCGTCTTTTCTTCTTCAAGCGTTGCAGGGAAGTATAAAGGTTAACATCAGGAATGTGGACGTTTGTGCAGAACAGCTCAGCTCATTTTGACAAAAAGAAATCAAAAGATGGAGAAATCAAACTGGATAACATGTCTGTTGCAACAAGGAACGTGTAGTGACTTATTCATGTTGTTGAATCTAACTCATTTTCAGACTTCTTACGAACCAATTTCAAGGAGTCTTCTCAGGTGTGATGTATGCTAAAAGGTACTATGGATGTTCGCCGTTAACTGTGTGCCCTCAGTCAAAACTCTTCCAGCTCCGTGACAATCTGACATTGTGGGTGACGGGCTGGTGTAAGAGGAAAGAGCGTTTCTCCATCTTTAATCACTAGGCTGACGCTCCACTGAACTGAGGTGGACGAGGTCTGACTGGGGAACAAGGAGAACTGAGAGACGGGAAGGGGGTCAATTTAATTTGTATGCAGTCAGTCCTGAAAACTGAGGCTGAGAACAGACACACTTTGATTAAAGTTCCAAAAATGGGATTCATTTTTGCATGAAAACGCTTTCTGATGCAGCTTATATAATGAAGATGGAAGTGACCCTGAGACAAACTCTCACACCACTGGGACTGAGTCACTTTGCTGCCTTGACTGAAGCAGGCCTTCGTCTGAGGAAGGGCAGATTGGAAGTGTGAGAGAAGTCAGATCTCATATACACAGCCACATGTTGCACTGCATGAACACACAGGATGATTGGTTTCGATTAGGTGCAGAAATCAGGCCCTGGAGGCAGGATTAAGGAGGGAAGAGCCATTCCTTTTTCTTCCACTCTCTTGGCTCCTCTCTTGGGGGCCCTGACCCTTCCCTGAATGTTTTTTCAACTTGCGCTTCACCCCAGAGGAGCATGATCGACCAAGGCCAACTTTTCAGAAGCAGCCGCTACATTCTTGGATCGGGACCTCTGACGAACAGCCGCACAATGCTGCGAGATGAAGAGAGCTCTTTGTGCGAGGGGTCTTACAGTAGAGACCCTCGGCGGACTCATCGGGTGAGCGTCCAGTCTTCAAAGCCTGCCTTGATGAATGCTGGGAGAAGGTCACATTCTCTCTGCAAATTCAAAGCCAAGTAGTTTGTCCTACCAGGGTATACAGAAGATGGATGCAGGGGTGGGGGGTTGGTGACCTTTCAGTAGGGTTGGAGGAAGGTGCTCCATACTTGTAGCACTTGAAAGCAAAATTACAAGCCAGTGCTCGTGTCGTGTTTCTATTAACTAACTGTTGTGTTATCGAATATCACCGGCTGTGTGCCTGAAACACGTCTCAGTCGATGTTAAAGTCAATCTCAACCTTCAGGCCTGTTCTCTTGGAATACCAACGAGGCGCAGACATTATTATTCACGGTGACTGACAGAGAACAAACCCGAGCTCTTTCTAAAGGGGATCAACGTCATTGTTCCCCATCAACGACAATGATTCCCATTCACAGATTAATTTGTCACAGCTGTGCGGTTACCAATAAGCACAAAATGAATGGATTTATGACACTGGGACAATAACGGCAGCGCGATTAATTGAATAATTCCTCTGTTCCGTGTACACAGGCTCCTTCGCCGCGCTGTTCTCTCGCTCTCTCTGTCTTGCGCAGGTGTTATGATGCATTGCATCACTAGTGTACAGATGTTTGTGTTATTGTGTCCACCCTCTTTGTGTCTATTCAAATGTTTTGAGAGAGGATCATCAAGTTTATTCCAGGCACGAGTTGCTCAAAGCGTTCACTGTCTGGGATTTTTCACCTGAGTGTGTGTGTGTGTGTGTGTGTGTGTGTGTGTGTGTGTGTGTGTGTGTGTGTGTGTGTGAGAGGGAGGTTAGAACAGACATTTCTCTGATCTCTCACACAGGGCTAACTTCTCAGAGATGTTTTGCACAGCAGCAGATCTCACCCGTGTTATCCTCCACACAGCCACATTGTTCTACATTAACTGTGTCTTTACTTGTCAAAGTGAAACCCAGCTGCTGTTTCACAGAGGTGTTGACTTCACCTCAGCTGCTCTGGTGGAGGAGAGTGCCCCCTGGTGGCGAGTGGCGAGTATACCGCACACTGCAGCACTTACCCAGCAAGCATCTCAAAGACTAGGATGCCCAGAGCCCACCAGTCCACCGCTCGACCGTGACCTTTGCTTTGGATGACTTCAGGAGCCAGGTACTCGGGAGTGCCGCACAGAGTCCACGTCCTGGTCGCACAGAGAGGGACAGAAGATGTGGAAAAACATTTAAAAAACAGCCAAAGGTTAAATGTGTTATAGATAATGATGTGTGGGATGAGATCCTGCGGCTGAGGCTGTGAATCTGGACAAAATAGGACATTGTACTGATGGGAGGACACTTCTGCAGAAGTGGAAGAAACCATTGGAATCACTTGGGCTTCAATATAATATGGATTTACATGGATAAAAATTAGGTAAACATCTGTATTAGGGACAGAAGATATGAATCTCACACAATAGTTACTTAACCTCACATTTTTGTGCGTCTTTTTTTGTTTTCTGGACCAGTCTGGTGATGTAATGTTATGTGATGTTACGGTTTGTAAAATTGGAAAAATCTGAATAAAAACAAAAAAAAACAAATCTGGGTGTACTCACTGGATAAGGGTTGCAGCAATATGGGATTTTCACGGAGCCAAAAAATAGAAACAGAGGGGTTATTGTTGGTTGAATGTTTTGTCACTATAACTGAACCTCGAAACCAATTTTTTAATGCAAGTATGTGTAAAAAGTTTCCTCTCTGAAAACTTTTATACCGCAGTATACCTTAAAGTGGTATATCGCTGCAACACACATCCATGCTCTCTGCTCTCTTTTTCTTTAATAGAATCCAATGAACATTAAACAAGTTTCTTCTTCAATGATCTTGTAAGATTAATTAGTAATTAGTGACTTTTGGGACGCCTCAAGATGTTCCAACAGGGAGTCTAGCATACTTGATTTTTGTTGTTCACGATTTCTCCTGTCACAGCCGTCACTTTGACCAACGAAACACAGCGATCTGCTGCCGTGGACAACTGTGCGACAACAACACCCCAGGGTTTTTGATATTTCCTCTAGGGACGTTACATTACAACAGCACATATCGACTGTAATCATGGATGTGTCATCAACAGAGGGCACTGCACAACGCACAACAGAAGCGAATCACATTGACTACCTGTAAACTTCTGCTCTGTTATTGAAGATATTTAAAATACATGCATAAACCAACAATTAATAAACTGCAAGGTCTTTATTTCTGATGATTTCTCCCTTGACTTCTCCACTGTTGCTCCCTCCTATAGAATATACGGAATATAACCTACTGATCAGCCATCGTTTGCACTTCATAGATGGACCTGCACTTGTGTAGCGCCTTTCTAGTCATTCGACCACTCAAAGTGCTTCTTTTTACACTACAAGTCACATTCACCCATTCACACAGCTACTCAGTTTTTAACACACACTGTTGGAACAGCCATCGGGAGCAATTTGGGGTTCAGTATCTTGATCAAGGATGCTTCAACATGTAGGCTGGAGGAGCCGGGGATCGAAGTGCTGACCTTCCGATTGGTGGACGACCCGCTCTACCTCTTAGCCATGTCACAGAAGACCTTTTTTTGGTACCAGCTGAGAACCAGCTTTTTGGGTTCTGAATCAACTTAATTTGGGGTCGAGAATGCTCTGAACAGTTGAAAATTAGGTGCGGGAACTGAGGTGAAACCAGTTCCATGTTGGTGGAGACAACTTCGGACAAAGACAAGCAGGGCATTCTCTCATTTGAGAAACTGGAGTCATGAAATGTTTGGCATTTTTTAACGAAACATTACTTGTAAAACACTGTAAAACATTTGCTGACTAATGTTCTATCGACTAACCGTTTCAGCAGGCCAACATGTCATTTTCTTTTCTAGTTCAGTGATATGTCTTTTGCTCTTTTGTTTTTAAGATACTGACAGGAACAAGTCCAGTTATCTCAGAACGACTTGTTAGGACAGGTCATTTTTAGACATACATCATTACTGTTAAAAGTAGGTTGTTCACATTAAGATGTAATGTTAGAACTTCCCTCCTACCTGAGTAAAAACACTGCACATTGTTAGTTACCGTCAGCGTGTTGAGTGGCCCTCAGTGTGTGACAGGTGAGAAGCGATAGCCTCTGATCATTACACACAGTGTGTAAACAGAGAGACTCCAGCTGCATGGGAAAGACAACACCCATGGGTAAAGTGATCTCCTGCCGCCACCTGACCCAGCTGTGTCATCCCTTATAGTACTATAAGGATATGTGTGGATACAGGAGTGATAGATGTGGAAGTGTCACTCAGGGTGGGCTGGAAGTGTAATAAGGGCGAGAGTCCAAATATAAGCTGTGGACTATGTGAAGCAGGAACAATAACAGGAAGTGTAAAGCAGATTATTTGCCTCTGGCTCTCCGTCGCGCTGGGTGACAGAGCAGCTGATTGACACTGTGTAACAAACACGCACAGTGTTCCCTGCGAAAGCCACTTGTCCTCTGATGAAGAGCACTTGGCCCGGCGCCAGCCTTTCATCGTCTGTCACCGATATCACCTGGGTAATGACCTCTTTCGGCCAGTTGCCATGGCGACGGTAATTTGTATGGAAATGATGTTGGTCCTGCCGGAGAATGGGGAGGCGAGTGATGTCGGGGGAATAAAGCGTCGGGGCTACGGAGGAGACGTGACCACGGTGGGAAAGGAGACGCGTGTTGTTGCTCTCCGGGGCGTCGTGTGTCATCGTGCGCGGCTTCGTGTTTAGATGGGGGTGTCCGCCAGCAGGGGACACTGTGGCAGCACGGGGAGGAGCGGGGAGGAGCGGGGCTGTGATGGCGCTCCATCACATCCTGAACATGGAAAAGTACAAAAGAGCTGGAGGCAATGAGGCAGTTGGCTTCCTATCCCAGGCAATTCTGCTGCCCTCCATTTATATAAGTGGGTCACTTGCACATCAGAGAGGTATCTAGTCCCCATCTGTTTTGCTCTCCCAGTCTGGGGGAAAATGTAATCTTACTCCATTATGTTTACATGTCAGCGGGGGTCAACGCAGTGCCGGGTGAAATGCTCGGGACAAACACTGCAGTAGTGAGGCTGCAGTGCAGATATAAAGCCGTCTCTTCTCCTCTACGGAGCATCTTTTCAATTCTGCCGAGGTCGCCAGGAGGCCTCACTCACTGTATATCTAATTCAGACTAAATGACATCGGTTGGGGGAAGTTTGTCCTTCAGTGGCGGTGCCGTGGGTGTTTTGGAATTGGGAGGATTCCCTCAAATTCCCTGAAGAAAATATGAGCTTTCACTGTGCACACACAGGACATGAGCAAGATGGCTTTTCCTCATCCCCCTGCAGCCGAACACTGTATCTCCCCACAGTAGGTGAATGTCGACTCGGGATGTTCCTGGTGACTAATTTCCCTGTCGATAATTTCCACCACATTCACACCACACGCACACACAAGCTAAATCTAAGTGTAGCTTCCTAAGCACCGCCTGAGAGGGAATGTACAGTACGAGCTCAGACATACAGTGAGGAGTGACAGCTGCTTTGTCATTCTCTTTCGACTGACAATCAATCAAGCATCAAACACCGCGAGCTGAGGGTGGAGTATCCCCGACTGTCATTCAGCAGCTGCCGCACACACTGCAGGGTGAAGTGAAGAAGAAGGGAACTATACCACAAAAACTCGACTAAGTTTCTGTTTCATGTGCGCGAAAGATGCCACTGTGAGCCACCCAAAGCGCACTGGTCTGATTATGTCACCCGGAACACAGTAGCTAACTAAAAGCTTTCGGTCAACCGTTGGCTCTTAGTTCATCCAGGTCATGGTAGTCATCAGTGCTATATTGTAGGCAACTGGACTTGCTTGAGTTTCTTGAAGATGTTTTGCCTCTCATCCAAGAAGCTTCTTCAGTTTTGACTGGTGCAGAGTTGCAGGCTTTAAACTCTGTGTAGGTGTGAACCCTTGCAGAGTCATTGAGGTCACATGTGAGTTGTTGACCCACCCGGCCATCTTGTGTGCTCTTAGGGTCAGATGGGTCCAGGTGAAAATGGGTGTGAAGTTGTCTGGGAAGGGATCGCAAGACTAGAGCCCATTTTAGATAGGAATTGTGCAAATTTGCAGGAAAGCCCAATCAGTCTTTTTTCAGCATTGGCAGTATAAAAACAAAATCGGGGAGTGCGGCAAAATGCTGCCTACCTACTTTTGTTTATACAGAATTCGCCTTTTTCGGGGCAATGGGGGGCGTGAGCAAGTAACAAAACGTGTAGCTCAGCGTGTGACGTAAACAGTGACGTGGGAGGGAAGCCACGGCTGGTCAGTCCTTCGCGATTCTCTTGTAAGTCGGCCCGTTCTTCTGACGGTTAATGGCCTCTTCGTTTGCGAGGGCAAGGAGGGCGCGCAATTCCTTGTCTCCCCAGTTGCTCATCTTTACAGTGTCTGTCAGGTTTGTGTTTCCCTCTTGCTACTAGCTGCTCGCTAATTCCTGCTATCAGCTGTTTCCTGTTTATCCACCACTAGCGGCTCGCACGTGTGGCGTCATCAACAGCCCCTCCCGTTGGGGAAGGCCGCCTCGGTCTGTTTAAACTAAAAGGGTTCCGCCAATATGTCTACCCAACGAGGCGGAAAATTGGGCACCACGGATCAACTCGCCAATCCGGCTCTGTGTGTCTAAACGCTCGCAGCTTGCCGGCAAAACGGCCCAACATTCGTGGAAAATCTGGCAGCGTAAAAGGGGCTTAAATGGTGCCGTCGGCCACTTCCTGTTTAACAATGGTCGTTCCAGCTTGACATAGATGGCTTCTTTCACACCTCTTTCAAACCATCTTTCTTTGGCCAAGATGTGAACCTTGCTGTCCTCGAAGGAGTGTTCCTTCTTCTTCAGATGATGTCCTTAGGGTGGACAAGCTTCTGCCTCAGGGTGTTACTGGGTCTGAAGTGCACAGGGATGTGGTGTTTGTTGAAGATCATCCTGAGTTTCTCAGATACTCCTGCGACATAAGGAATGATGATTCGTTTTTGTGTCTCTTCCTTTCCTCTTCCGTTCTGGGTGTTTTCAAGATGAACACACACCTCACATGCTCAGTGGTCTGGGTGGGTCGGGGGTGTGTTTTTGACAGGTAGAGAGCCATAAGAGAGAGCTAGAGAACCAAACACCAAAGCGAGCCTCATGCCGGGGGGCTTAAAAACTGACTGTGACAATTTATAACTAATGTTCAGGGTAGAGTAATTCTCTCCATCCAAAGTGGAACGAGTTGTAATTTTCCACAAAACTACCTGAAACTAAAACAGTAAAGCTGCATGTACAAAAGAAACGTCTGATATGAGGTGAATTCAAATGTGTGCAAGATCATTGATTGACATTGGTAGTAACAGGGTAAAGGTAGGTTTTAAAATACTTTCTTCCCTTTTTGCTGCATTCACTGTCAATTTGATTTGTTTCAGGTTTGTGGTTGCCAGAATGAATACTGATGTCGCTACTGTCACCTGTCAGAGAGCTTCTTAGCGAAGCCGAAGTCGGTCAGGCGGATGTGTCCTTCACTGTCCAGCAGGATGTTCTCGGGCTTCAGGTCACGGTACACGATTTCTTTGGAGTGGAGGTACTCGATGGCGCAGACGATCTCGGAGGTATAGAAGAGGCCAGTGGCGTTGCTGAAGCGCCCGCGGCTGCGCAGGTAGCTGAACAGCTCGCCACCTGCCACGTAATCCATCAGCATGTAGAGGAAGCGCTCGTCGTGGTGGGTCCAGAACCTTCGAAGTAAAAAGAACACAGGTCAAAAAACATGACAGTCTTTTAAATAAATGCTGAACACAGAGTAACGTCTTCCTCGGCCCACAACTGTCCTGTGCATCCATCGGAGGGCAGAAGTGTTAAAGTGTCCTCGGACGAGTTGAGGAAATCAGATAAAATAAGAGGCGTATCAGTCTCAGACTCTTTTATCCCCCAGTGTGGTTTGCAGCAGTGTGCTACAACTATTTCAGCTGGAAGGGCACTTCAGAGGAATAAAAACAAGAGAGCACTGTCACTGATGAAGATGGAGGAGGCTCCAGTGTTTTCCATAAGTGCTGGCTGCTGGCCACAAAGACGATTACTGGCTCTTTCCTCGGCTGCCATTTTATCTCCACACTTCCTTTGGCTTTTTCTGCTTTCTGAGGCTGTAGTTACCTCCGTCTGCAATCACCTTTGATTCCAGATATACAATACTGCAATAGATAAACATGATATTTCTATGCCATACTTCACTTTTCTAAGAAGAAAATGGTGTGTTGATTAGACATTCAAGTGATTAGGGGTTCTCATACATTTGCATAGCTCATAGGTATGCTATTCTTGAATATATGAGGATTTCTATCTAAAATTTTTCAAACATATTTGATTCTATTTTCATGAATACAGTGTTAAAATGATCCCTTTCTTGGGAATGTATATTTTGCCATGAGCAAAATTTGATTTTAAACACAGGACTGCAGATAATCAATCGTAAAACGGCATTTGATTCAAATTTTGAATGTTGCTGATCATTTTCTAATATTTTTTTGTACAGAAAGAATTCCTCTCAACTATTTATCTAAAGGAGATACACACCAGGTAAACATGGTAAAAATTTTAACTAATATTTTCTTTTTTTTTCTATAACAGGTTTTCTGAAATTGTAGGTTTAAACATGCAAATTTAACTTTTGACTTATGGATATCTCTCTCTCTCTCTCTCACTCCATTAATCACAAAATACTGTTAACAGCCATAATACCAATCCATTTTCACCATGTTTTTAGGAATAAAATGTTCTATACATCAGGCCATGAAGGATATATAAAATAGGATATAAAATCAGCTAGGATGCCATAAGTCAAAGTGTTCCACCATTACTTGTGGTGTCCCACAAGGGTCTATTTTGGGACCTAAATTATTTATATTATATATTAATGACATCTGTAAGGTTTATGACTTAATGGAGTTCTTTGAAATTGAAAATGTACAAATTCAAAAAGTGTATGAGATCAAGTCTTGTTTTTTTTTTGGATATATGCTTCATATTATGTTAAATTTGGAGTGTGTCTGTTATTTTTTTTTTGTAATGAAAGTACAGTAGGATAGTGTAAAAAAAGGGGCAGGACATGATAAGCTCTGCTTCCTCCTGTCCCCACTTTTTAATTTATTCTATTTTTATTGTATTTGAATGAACTATTTTGCTTTATTAATGCATTTATTGTATTGTTTTCATTCGAGAAAAATAAAGATCAAATTCAGATCAAAGATCAAAGTTACAGATAAAAGAGGAGCTTCTCAATAATACGGCCATTCATAACTAAGAGCCGTGGCTTGTTTACTACCGGCAGAATTAAAAGATCAATCTCAGATTTTACGAATTGTTATAGAGTCATTCCAGTGAAGATCGATTTGAATCAGATGGATTTTTGTATTATATGTTGTATTATGTTTTGATTGGCTCCCTCGGTCAGGTCTCTCTTGTAAAAGAGATTTTCAGTCTCACTGGGTTAAATAAATTAAATAAAGGTAAAATGAATGAATAAAATAAGCTCCATGATAACCTTATCTTCTGCTGTGTTGATTCGATGAATAACAGAATGATACTGTAGTGCAGACATGTATTTATAATTTGAACCAATGTGTCAGGATGCAAAAGCAGACACAGAACTTTGACCTTTCTTTATCAGAAATGTTCACCCAGTGGGCCGTGAGCCCTGCCTCCGCCTCCACCCGCCGTGTTTGTGGCTAAGACCAGGGAGCAGACTCACAGTCGGATGAGGAAAGGGTGGTTGACCTCTGCCAGCACCTCCTTCTCGTTGTGGACGTGCTGCTCTTGCTTCAGTCGGATCACGTCCGGGATCTTCATCTGCTTTAGGGCGTAGAAGGCCCTGCTCTTCTTGTCCTTGACCAGGAAGACTCGGCCAAAAGTCCCCGTGCCTGAGGTGGGGGGGAGACACGGGGGGAGGTGGGGGTTGAGGATTAACCAACATGACAGGAATTCACAGCACACAGGGGAACTAGACCATGATAAATAACCGCTTATCTAACACTCTCATGTATTGATTGTGTTTGGTGCTGTGTTGCACTACACTGATGTTCACACCTGTAATTTATCATAAATGCATGCAAGAAACATTCGGCAACGTCAAGCACGAAAGTGCGGACGTTCTTAGCTTTAAAGACTCAAAGTTCTTAGATTTCAGTCATTGGACAAACTGACGTGATGCTCTAAACACACACACACATAAACAGACGTATATGGCTGTTACTACGATGAGTCTTTGAGATCACAGCGACCTTGACCTTTGACCATCGAATTCTAATCAGTTTATTCTTGAGTCCGAGTAGACGTTTGTGTCAAATTTGAGGAAGTTCCCTTTAAAGTGTTCTTGAGATTTCATTTTCACTAGATTGAGACACACAAGGTCATAGTGACCTTTATTTTGACCTTCTACTAACAAATTCAATCAGTTCAATCTTGAGTCTAAGTGGACATTTGTGCCAAATTTGAGAAAGCTCCCTTGAGATACTGCATTCACGAGAATAAGACAGATACAAGGTCACAGTGACCTTTGACCACCAAAATCTTCAAATTCAAAATTTTTAAAATGAATATCTTCATGTTTTGGATTGTTGCTTGGATTAGGGATGTTCCTGGCTACTAATTTCCATGTCGACTAAACGGAAATTTTAATTAAGACTAGTCGACCAGTCTAAAAAAGGGAAAACACTCAGAAAACAGTCACAATTTATTGTTAAGTATTTAAAACATGTCAGAAATTAAATGCTGCTTAAGTACGAGACAATTTGCACCGACGTCACCTTGGGCTCGAAAAACTGTGATGGCCGTTTTGTCACTATTTTGTTTGTTAAGCAAACTACTAATCAATTAACCAAAATTAATAAGTAGAATTGCTACCCCTGAACCTGTTTGTGTTTATAGACAGTCTCATCTCAAGACTTAAATCTGGACTGGTTATAGTGGGACAGAGAGACTGAATGAACTGGTCACAAACTCAGACAATGACGTTGAGAACAACACCCTGTCTTGTTCTTAGTGAGTCAGTGTGCAGATAAGGACGTCAACAACCGCAGCATTAGCACCACCGTGCGCTTGTGTTGTAATACTATTAGACATATTTGTTGTCATATTCTCATCTGATTTTTTTTTTATGCTCAAACATGGATATTGGCATCAGCCTTAAAACTCCAGCACGCGTCAGTGATTAAATGGTGACAGGCTGTTATTATCAGTCTAAACCATGCATGGAAGAGCACTGACTTGCAGTAAACTGTCTGCCTCCGGGGCACAACATGTAAGTTTACTTTCACTTCAGTCTCTCCCTCTGTCTTTGACAAGTTGTGTTGTCGGTTGCATGTCTTTTGTGTAAGTGTCAGTAATAGTCAGCGATGGCGAGGCAGTGGAGTGGGCAGTAACTGATGAAAATCCTGCAGGAGCAGGCGGAGTTGAGGCAGAATGACTCCACGTTCTGTGGCCTCGTATTGCCCTGGGTGCTGTGCTGCTGCTGCTGCTGTTGTTGTTTTCTCCCTAAAAACCAGGAGAGGCATTTGGCATTTTATTCCCGCCGTGCTGATGAGCAGTGAGGGAGACAATAAATGGCTGATGACAATATGTGATACAACAGCCACTCTGAGTCAGACACTAAACTGCTGCAACTTCCAGACGAAATGCTGGGTAGTGCTGTCTCGTTCCTCTGCTCCACCAACAGTGAACCTTTGTCTCCCACCTATTGGGGTTGCCATGGCAACAAAAACACAGGAGCACACCGCTACTGTCAGGTGAAACCTCGTATCACCACTTTGTCAAACTTTTTAAGGGATAAAGAAAAACAATCAGGATATTCTGATGGTTACATTTCAGACTTCTTCAGATCTCCTATATGGATATATTGTAAAAAGCCCCGGCTCAAACTTGGAACCCTCTTGTCCAGAGATGATGTGAATTATGTAAAATATTTGGGTCCAAACAATATACAAAAAAAATCACAACTACAACCCCATCCAAGGGATAACAGCGGTGGCACATCAGTTTCCTCTGATCAACAGATGAAAATGACCTAAAGTTGGAGTTCCCCAACAAGAATGCACAAGTAAAAGAAGCCATGAGATAGGATGAACTGTCAACTCCACTGCCTCTGCATAACAATTGGTTAAACATTTCACCTTCACTGCACAAGGCCTGCATTGTTCGAGTGAACACACACATACCGGGGAGAGGAAAACAAAATGACGCCTGAGTGATGTCAGAAATCAAAGGGCTGCTTCAGAGTTGTCATCAGAAACCAAGCAGGGCCAAAGAACGCATTCACACTGGCACTATTTGGTCCACTTTAAACAAACCCCGGTCCGCTTCCACGGATAGTTCGGTCCGTTTGGAGTGGTGTGAACGCTCAATCGAACCAAACAAGTGAAGCCTGGTCTGCTTGAAAACTGAGGCCAATCGATGAGCCGGGTTTTCTTGTTCCTCATGCTTTTTGTCTTCCTGGTCTGTGGTCGTTTTGGGCAATACCGCCCCCAAACGAGCAGCTGTTGTAACTGCGTGACTTTGTCCAGGCGGTTTGGTCCACTTTAAAAAAGTGCTGTGTGAAAGTGAACCGGACCAAATGAAGGTGTCCCCCGGACTATCCTGGTGTGAATGTGCCCTTGAACGCAACCAAGAAACGGCCGGTTGATTTCAGAGAGTAACGTACTGTAACTGATATTTACCACCCTAGAAACTGGGTCATCCCTGACTCAACTTCCACCTGCTCTGTTTCTGGGGCACGCAATTCTATGAGTCACAGCCTCACATGAAAAAGATCGACAACTCCCAAAACATCATGTTAAGGACAGGGATACTGCTGACAAATTCATGTGCTCCGACTAAACTGCTGTTGGTACCTTGGAGTGATATTCTCTGGGCCATACCGGTGACCGCAGCATGTGGCAGTAGCAAATAAATCTGGTGGCACTAGAGAGTTTCCTCATGATTTCAATGACAATTAAACAACAGCCTGCAGATAAAAAGCTTTAGTTGATTTGTTTTAGGCAGCAAATCCTTCTCATCAGACAAAATGGCAAATGGCAAATTGGATTTCTGCACGGGGCTCATAAGCTTGAAGCTCGCTCCCAACAGCACAGGATGAATGCCCTTCGCTGCTGCACACCTCCCTGACAGGCATTAAGCCCGGGCTTTGTTGCTCGCATGTAGCTTAATGCATATTATTGAGCTCGATGTCTTTCATAAATACGCAGCATGAGATGATAAATCACAATGTATGTTCAATCTGCCTGCAGAATCAAACTATTACTATTAATGAAAAGGGTTTACGGGTGCGGTGTCATCACTCTGTGGTGTTTGCTATCAATTCATTCCCCATCTGGCCCTTTATGATCAGTCTGCACTGCTGTTACACTGTCAACTGTAAAACACAGCAGTGTGGCTGATGCAGGAGACTAAAGACTGCAGAAATGGGTCTGTGTTTTCATGCAGGGAAGTCATTTGGTTTGATTTATTATGGACTTATTTACTGTTTACTGCACCTGACTGACAAAAAATCATGTAACTGAGAGCAGCTCAGGTGCAAGAAGGGTTACAGTCATGTCAAGTTTGCATTTCCTGTCAATAAATTGACAAAGAGCATGGGCAAAGAGCATTTTTTTCAACTAGCTTTGGAGGTCTCAGTCAGTGGCATTTGGCAGGAAGTTCATCAAAACAAAGATGGAGGCACTGGAGAAAGAAATCAGAAATGTGCCGTCGATCTGAAAATCAAACGTCTGCACTTATTTGGGATTCTTCAACACGGAAGGAAAGAAGGACTTGGATATGACACATACAATTTGTAAGCAGTGTCATGTGAGAATAAAATACTATGGGAATACTACGAACATGAGGGCTCACCTCATATTCCACCATCTAGAGACAGGGTTAGCCGCTGACGGCCAAACTAACAATCAACCAACACTGGACACACTGAGCTCGACAAAACCACCATCCAAATGTGAGAGAGCCAAGAAAGTAACGCAGTCCATCGTCTACTTCCTGTGCAAAGATCTGCACCCATACAGCTTTGTTGGAAACGAAGGCTTTTGTTACAGCTAAAAACAGTGGTCCCCAGGTATGCGACACCGTCCAAATGTTTTTTCACAGACGCAGCCGTACTCAAGCTCTACATATCATACATCTCTACATGAAGTTAAGGGATCTTTGAGTACAGCAGGAAGGGTGGCGTTAACTTGTGACACCTGGACTTCAAGGGCACATCAACTAGAGCAGAACAGGAAAGTCACACTAGAGCAAACACTGCTGGCCTGATATCTGATGTTAGCATCGAATTGTTTTTGGTATTCTATTGACTAAAGTATTGATGATTAAGGACGTGGTCTTGTCTTGCGTGCAAGGCTTTCTCTTAGGACAAATGACTCTTATTCTTGTAATGAGGAGTCATAAATGGGAGTTCCCTGGGTAACTTTATGTGCAATTCCATGATGAAGGTGTGACTCAAATATTTATCATTTGGACAAGTCAAACAGCCATGATTAACACCCTGTAGGGCAGGTTGTAGCCTGAACATCGATGAACTTTGGTATGTGAACTAGCCAGTGTATACACCTCTGACTTCTGAACATAACTTTAGCCTGTTTCTCAACAGTCATTATCGTTCAGGCTAATAACTAACCCATCAAGCTTTGACAGTAAATCTATGGATTGATTATACAAATTGTGGCGGGCCAACCCGAGCCAGCTTTGTACAAACAAAGTGTACAGAAAAGAGGAAAAGATAAGAGGATAAAGTAGGTCAGCCATGACTGGATGACATATTGATAAAGTGCTGATATCCTGATATGAGACTATCAGCTCAGATTTTTGCTAATGCAGCAGGGGTAGACGATGTGAAATCTGTATCATAAGCAGCTCTCACATTATCTCAATATCACCAAGCACAAAACATGATGTGTGAGTTCATCAGAGTATGACCCAGTTTCAGATCCTGTTTTTGACTTGACTGTTGACAAACTGGTTGGTTGAATGTCTCGTCATGTGTCACTGGTTGTTATAGTTTTTAGGATTCACACACTGTTGCCAAAAACTTTGATAAGAGTAGATTTAGGTCAGTAAGCAAGTCACAAAATACTCATGTACAAGGCTGGGAGTTATTAGAGCAGTGCAACACCAGAGTTTTTATACTGATGCCAAACTGACGCATGAATATTTTCCATTTGATAGAATATTCCAAACACTTTTGGGAGATTTCTACTGTGAGAGGTCTCCTCCTCTCCAAAACAAACAGACCTGGTGAAAACCAGTAAAAACACAGAATAAAGCAGTTTCACGTTTAAAATCTGTGTTTTTCCGACACCGCCTGTCGCAGAGGGGCTGCTAGCTACGCGGCCGATGCTAATTGGCGAGATGGGAATACATGAATGGCGTTATTTAGAGCAACACAACGAATCTCTAACACTAAAATACTGTATTGGTGTAAAACAGTTTGGTACAGTAGATCACAATTTTGACCTCCCCTAAGTTTCTATTGCTCATTACACATAATTTTCATATAAGAGCATATTTTAAGACATCTGTAGCCCGGAGAATAAAAAAGTTCTAATGTTAATTGCATTGAAGACGGTATTTTAAATCATCTTTAAAGTGCTTAAATAAGACATCGCATTATCAATTGTGCTTGTCTGCTTTAACTGTTTAAAGTAATGCCTGGTTCACACACGTCGTACGGTGTCGGCTCGGATTGTGAACGACAATGAGTGTCGTATGCGATAATCCATCGTTTCATCTCGTGTAGCGTGTCATAGTAGACGACAACCGACGCCACGTCTGGGACGCCTCACGACGTTCCAACATAAAGTCTTCCGTGATTGATTTTCTTTTTGTCGTTTATGACTTCTCCCGTCACAGCCGTCACTTTGACCTTTAGGAACACAGAGCGATCTGCTGCCGTAGACAACTGTATGACAACAACACACGGTTTTTGATATTTCCTGTAGGGATGTTACCACACAGAGTAAAAGGGGGAAATGATGGTGTGAAACAGCAGAGGCACTTTGTCAACCAGCTGAGTACTGCCATTAGCATCAAGCTAGCAACAATGTTACCTCTTCATAATGGAGACATGAAGTAAGAAAATTTAAAAATAGTGGCTTTTACTTCCCACAACTGCAGAGGGTTATATTTTACTTTTAATCCACTCCTGTTTGCAACATTTCAAACGAAACACTTCCTGTATCTGTATAAAATTAACAGCCCATTATAACTTTGGTTGAGAGAATCCCTTCATTTTCTAAAAAGGCTTTTATTGTGAAACATTGCCTAATGTGACATATACCCCTTTACACCATGCATTTACGTGTGGTTTCTGTGATCGGATTGCAATCGAATTGACCACGACAGTACAGACACTCGAAACGCATTGAGGATGGATTGTTATCCGTTCTGCCAAACCACTTCTGAAGGTGGTCAGTGCAAGTGTAAATGCAAATATGCGTCTCCAATCCACATGCAACAACTCCGTGGGCGAAAATACGTACGCACGGTGCGCCAGCTGGACACAGGAAGAAGGAAGAGGACAACAACAATAAGCCTCACCGGGCAGCAACTGCCAAGAAAAAGACAGCCGAGGATGGAGTCACGGTGAGACAAAAGTGTCCATACCAATAACGCGCCTTCACGGGCGGCTAACATCTTGTTGTTGTTATTGCGGCGCACAGGATATGACGTTGTAGTCTGCTGCTGGAAATGTTTGCAGAAGAAGAAGAAGAGGAGGATGTGACGTCAGCAGAACGGAGCGTGACCGGAAAGCAAACGGATCTGGATGTGGACACCAGAGACGCATATTAATACCAGGTATAAATGTAGCTATATGGTCAAGCCCTGTCCGATTGCAAAAAACGCATGTTGATTCCAGGTGTAAACGGGGCCGTAGTGTCAGAACGAACAGAAGTGTTGTGCAGTGTGAACCAGGCATTACTGTGAATCCAAATAATCACAGAAATATGCTGGGTTTCATTTTTACAGTAACAGGCTGTGAAAAAACAGTATGGATACTGTAAAATTACGGTATATTCCTGGTGTCTGTGTTGCCAGTGTTTTACTGTATGACGAAATATACTGTATCTGTTTTACAGTAAAAGGTTGTAAAGTCATTTTACAGTATAAATACTGTAAAATTACAGTGTATTGCTGGTGTCTGCGTTGCCAGTGTTTTGCTGTATATATATGACGAAATATACTGTATCTCTGTTTTACAGTAATAGGTTGTAAAGTCATTTTACAATATGAATATTGTAAAATTACAGTGTATTGCTGGTGTCTGTGTTGCCAGTTTTATTTTAATGTATATATATAGAAATACAAATATATACAGTATCTCTGTTTTACAGTAAAAGGTTGTAAAGTCATTTTACAGTTAGAATACTGTAAAATTACAGTGTATTGCTTGTGTCTGTGTCGCCAGTGTTTTACATATGTCGAAATATACAGTATCTCTGTTTTACAGTAATTAGGGCTGCCACGATTAGTCGACTAATCGATGACTAATCGACTATTAAAATAATCGGTGACTATTTTAGTAGTCGACTAATTGGTTTGAGTCATTTTTCATAGAAAAGTACTATAAAAGTACCCCAAAATACTCTTACTGCAGCTTTTTACGTTCAGATATTGGCAGCTTTACACACTCTCCTGTGACAGTGAACTAAAACCCTTTGGCGTGAGTACGAAACAAGACATTAGATGACACAATTTTGGGGTTTGGGCGAGACAGACCGACATTTTTCAACATTTTAACACATTTTTCGATGAAATGATTAGTCGACTAATCGAAGAAATAATCCACAGATTAGTCGACAATGAAAATAATCGCCCAGTAATACAGTAATAGGTTGTAAAGTCACTTTACAGTAGGACACTGTTAGAATACTGTGAAATTACAGTGTATTGCTGGTGTCTGTGTTGCCAGTGTTTATAGAAATACAGATACTTTATGTCTGTTTTACAGTAACAGGTTGTAAAGTAATTTTTACAGTATGAATACTGTAAAATTACAGTGTATTGCTGCCAGATCTTTACTGTGATTTTACAGTGAAATTACGGTTTCAACACTCATTGCTGCAGTAACTACTGCCTATCCTGGAGTTTAGGAAGTGTGTGTTACACTGTGGCCACTTCAACAACAGTCCAGCACAGGGCATCAGTGTGTGTGTGTGTGTGTGTGTGTGTGTGTGTGTGTGTGTGTGAGACATGTCCTTGCATCTCACCAACTGTGGCAATGGTCTCCAGGTCATCAAGGCAATATATCCGGTTATTTGGTGATGCTTCTCCACCTGAACAGCTAGCGTTGCTTCTGCTTTCCTTCAGGGAGTTGGTCTCAGTGTTGACTGGAACCTTTGCTTTGGAGGACGCCATTTTTAAATTTCGGAACGAGCTGATTATTTGGGTTTGTAACAATCCAACGGGACGCATGCAGAGTTCATATCATACATCTCTGACCGCAGGGAGTTCAAGTTGGTCCATCTTCTTTGTCTGACGAGCCGTGGCAGCACCGCTTGTTCTCGGTTACAGTCGCCTTCTGGATGAGCAGCCGACGTTTATGTTGTGTTGACTAGTTGAGTGGATTGACAGACAATAGGAGGTGAAGCCGCCGACACGATGAGACAAAGAAGCAGGTGACAGGTGCACTGCGTTGGCAAGTAGCGTTAGCGACTTTGGTTAGCAGCTAACAGTCCATGGTGAGCTAAACGGGAGATGCACCGCAGCACCGGGGAGCTGAAGGAGAAGCCCCGGGATAGAGTGTGTTAGTCCGGGATGAAAGCAGGATGTACAGCGGTGCTAACTCGATGAAGACTCTGCCTTTTCTGCCTCAACTTTACTGCTTATCTCCATTATTTACTCCGCTTCAGCAGCAGACCTCACCCAGCGGCAGCTCTTCCCTGTCCACATCAACCAGGAAGGGATACGGTGTCGGTGTCCGGATCATTTCCGGTCGCGACTTTCAAAATAAAAAGCTACTTTCCAGAGTGGCGACGTTCACGACACTAAGCAAAGCCCCCGAGAGAATGTCGTTGTTTTTCTAGAGTCAAATACCTATAATACTCAATAACATTGCTCTCACAAAGTAACGGAACACCTATTTTAATGTAAGTTACACATACATTTTGTGCTTAACCACACAACTTCCGGTATTCCTCACCTGACTGCGTGTAACTTGACACGGCTGACAGACAGCGACCGCGTGTTGACAAAATGCAGCCAATGAAAACGAAGCTGTGCTGGGACACCAGCCAATCATGTGTGAGGAAGGGTGTGGTGATAGAGACAAGTGTGATTAACTCAACCATCCCGGGTGCAAAAATACATGTAAATACATTTTTAAAAAACAACAGAAATCAGTGTTTTTATTTTGAATATAGCTGGATTAAAAGTTATGTTACTTCCAAAAGGTGATGTCATATGTGTTTAAGTCAAACAACCTGATCAGTGTATCTTCACAGTTATTAAGCCCCCCAAAAGTGCTGTTGCATGCAGTATGCACACATCAGGACATACTTCTGTCTTAAAATATTAGACCCTGAACTTTGACCCCTATTGGTTTTATATTCATTACTTCTGCTGTCGTTACGTTGGTGCAGTATAAAAACAAAATCTGGGAGTGCAGCAAAATGCTTCCTACCTACTTTTGTTTATACAGAATGTGCCTTTTTCGGGGCAATGGGTGGCGTGAGCAAGTAACAAAACTTGTAGCTCAGCGTGTGACGTAAACAGTGTCGTGGGAGGGAAGCCTCGGCTTGTCAGTCCTTCGGCGATTCTCTCGTTAGTCGGCCCGTTCTTCACCGTCCCCGTCATCTGATGGTTAATGGCCTCTTCGTTTGCGAGGGCAAGGAGGTCGCGCAATTCCTTGTCTCCCCAGTTGCTCATCTTTACAGTGTCTGTCAGGTTTGCGTTTCCCTCTTGCTACTAGCTGCTCGCTAATTCCTGCTATCAGCTGTTTCAGTGGGTCGCACATGCACAGGGCTGCCCCTGACCAAATTGGGGCCCTAAGCGAAATTTTATTTGGAGGCCCCCATCCCAAATGTATCATAGGTACAAAATGACCGTACCACAACTCGCCATTTAACTTGACAACCTTCACTGGCAATAACAAATGTACTGTAGATACAGTAGTTTGGCTGTATGAGTCAAATAAAATAAAAAATTCAAACTGAAATAAATAAATAAACAAATCTGAGTCACAAATAGCCATCAATTACTCATCAAAAGAAAGTAACTTCCACCACCTCAACCCCCCACCCTTGATTAAACACTGAAAATAAAATAAAAGAGGGAGACAGGTTTTTCCTATTTAATCTCATTTTGTTATATTTCTCCCTCTCCCCTCTCTGGAGGCGTCCGATCTCCCTCAGCCCTCCGCCTCTCCCATCTTAATTAAACACTGAAAACAGAAATAAAATACAGAGACATTCTTTTCTATTTTCATCTTATTTAGCTATATTTCTCCCTCTCCCCTCTCTGGGAGCATCCGACCTCCCGGCCCCGTACATACCCCCGAGGCTCGGGTCTCCCCCTCCGTGGAGCCCGCCCACCCTCCCAACCCCGCACATACTCCTGAGGCTCTTTTGGACGACATGTCGACAGCTCTTCACCTGCTGCAGCTCTGCAAGTGCCTGCCAGCGCACCCCTCTTATTGTTCAGATGTCGAGTGCTGTCAATCATTGCAGCGAGGCATGGGCGGTCAGGTCTCTTCTCTCCTTCCTCGAGCTGATTCTATGCGCACCTCACGGTAGCGCATGTGCGCATCCATTGCGCATATGCGCAAATGCGTCCCCTCGCGCAAAATGTGGCCACCCATTGAAGATGAGGCCCTACGCACAGCGCGTGTTCTGCGTTTAGGGAGTGGCGGCCCTGCACATGCAGCGTCATCAACAGCTCCTCCCACAAGTCATCAACAGCCCCTCCCACAAGTCATCAACAGCTCCTCCCACAAGTCATCAACAGCCCCTCCCGTTGCGGAAGGCCGCCTCGGTCTGTTTAAACTAAAAGGGTTCCACCAATATGTCTACCCTACAAGGCGGAAAATTGGGCACCTCGGATCAACTCGCCAATCCAGCTCTGTGTGTCTAAACGCTTGCAGCTTGCCTGCAAAACGGCCCAACATTCGTGGAAAATCTGGCAGTGTAAAAGGGGCTATACTTTGTCTTGGGCAGGTGAGTGCTGTCCATGCAACCTGCAGGCTTTACTGTAAATCTAAATAATCAGAAATATGCTGCGTTTAAGTTTTACAGTAATAGATCGTGAAAACACATACTATACTGTAAAATTACAGTATATTGTTGGTGTTTGTGTTGCCAGTGTTTTACTGTATATATATTTGACGAAATATACTGTATCTCTGTTTTACAGTAAAAGGTTGTAAAGCCATTTTACAGTACAAATACTGTAAAATTACAGCTGTCTTCATACGTCATGTTGTCACATCAACTAACTAATCAACACGGACACATTGGTAATTAAACGACGCCTGAATTTAATGATTTCAATCCAACATTATTTTGCTGACACCCAAATGGGTGCAAGTCTCCTTTAAATAGCTTCTAGCTGTGTGGGCTGTATCTGGATACAGGGTTCAAGGTGTCACAGGGGTAAAAGAGGAAACTCAAGACATGAGCGCCACTAACACAGACTTAAAATACTCCACACTGAGTCAGCTGCCCTCAGTGTTCTGCTCACTTCGCAGTCATACTTAGCAGAAGAGAAGTGAAGTTGGACACTGTGACTACTTTGGGTCTTATTCATTTGAATATGTCTTGAGGTGTAGCAGCTCTGCTTGCTTTGAAGTCCTGTCTGTCCTACAAATTTGTATTTGGCACTGACATAACTCTGCTTCAGCATGGCATTTATCCTCCTCTGGACTATATAAATCAGCACAATTTTGCATATCAGAGCTATTTAAAAGGCAGAGAATGTGTAATACGAGCACATTAATTTTAATCAAACATAATTTCAATTTCCTTATTTGCACATTCTGTGATTCCATAGTTTTAAAGTTTTCGGACCACATTAGCAATGCAAAGCAGAGCGGCTGCTACTATTAGTATTCAAGCTGCGGCCTGAGGTTTTTTTTTTTTTTTTTTCAGACTGTCTGCTGCATGAATGGAATAAAGATGTGTTTGATTTAGACAGAGGTGGCCTAACATTTGCACTTGCGTCCTCAAGCTGTGAAACTATTTGGCACTCCACTATGATACCGCTGCTCCTCTGAAGCTGCCTGTCAAACACAGAGAAAGGCAGGGAGGCTTTAAATAGGATTTCGGCCTGAAAGATAAGGTTTTGTGGAGTGCTTCTGATTCACCTGATGTGATTGAATGACTTATCTTGATCAGTGAGACTTTAAGTAATTATGTTAACAAAGAATGTGTTTAATGATATCAGCTGACGGTGTGTTATCGTGGACTAAGTTTATTAAAATGACTTCAGTGATCAGGAGAACGAAGGGATTCAGACACTTCATTATGATATGACACTCCAAATTCCAAACTTTTTTGGAATATTAAATATCTGCTACCTCTCTATCCCTTCTTGTTTTTTGTTTTTGCATCAAATGGCCTCCTTGAGGATTCCTTTCATTTACTCTGTGCAAGTTCCTTCTGATCGTTTCCTGATCTGAATTTAAATCTACCTGAAACACTCTTGGAACTTAATAAAAGACAACGCAGACATTCTCAGATAATCACGTTAAGTCCCCAGAGGCTGCAATTTTTATTACATCCCACAATACATAAAAGATATATGAAATTTTCACTTTGGGGCTTTGCCAAAAATGGTATAAAAGATTAAATGTGTCCTACAGGAAGTGACTGAATCACATCTCTGCTTTTTGCAGATGATGTGGCTCTGTTGGCCTCCAGCATGCACTGGGGTGGTTTGCAGCCAAGTGTGAAGTGGTCGGGATGAGAGGCAGCACCTCCGATTCAAAGGTCATGGTTCTCTGCCGGAAAATGGTGGAGTCCCCCCCCTCAGTGTTGAGAGTGAGCTGCTGCCCCAAGCAAAGGAGTTGAAGTATCCTGGGGTCTTGTTCACGAGTGAGGGTAAATTGGAGCATGAGATGGATTGGTGGTTTGGAGTGAAGAGGGAGCTGAGCCAGAAGGCAAGGCTTTCAATTTACTGGTCCACCTCTCACCTGTGGTCATGAGCTCTGGGTAGTGACTGAAAGATTGAGATCATGGATACAAGCAGCTGAAATGAGCTCAATGGCGGTTTTAGGGGAGGGCCAGCAGGGGCCAGTGCCCCTGTAACTCGGATTCCGGCACCCCCTGTGGCCCCCCTGCCGAAGAGTCGGAGGGGCAACGTGGAACGCGGAACTAAATCATCTCAACCAGTTGCCAGTCGGACCACTTAAAGCGGCGCACCCACCGAAAACATCAGTAGAGAATTGTGTGGCTGTATTTAAGACAACTCTTAACCTGCACAGCAACACACAGCACCATTGAAGTAAGCTCTGAAAACTTTCTCGCTCTCATTTGGCTCATGGTAGTTGCATGTCACATCATGTTGATGTAGCCATGTGAAATACGATCCAGAGTTTTCATGGGTGTTTTATTGCGAAAATTGACCGGATACTCTCATCTTTTCTGCACCTGACTTCCTGTTTGACTCATCTGGTCTGTGCAAATTGACGTGCCGTCACGCGGCGTCCATCAGAAATAGACCCGGCGCGTGTTTTTAGCGGAGCGGAGCGCCGAGCCGCTTCTAGGCCACGGCTGGTGGATCTTACAGCTTACGTGGACTTGAATGGCCACTATTAGCTTCGGCACCCGCACCTCGGCCGGATTGCGCACACCCCGGATCCAGTGGGTTCCTGGGCGCCTCCTGCTGGAGGTGTTTCGGGCACGTCCCACTGGTAGGAGGCCCCGGGGCAGACCCAGAACACGCTGGAGG